GGGGAAACCCCGTCGACCGTGGAAAAAGTCAACGCGGCAAAAAACGGAAGATGTCGCCGAATCATTTAATTATATCCGAGGACTATAAAATGTATACAAAACCCAATTACAAAAGACAGTTTCCTGAAAATCATAGTGTAGATTGTGTTGTCTATGTAGAATCTACAGAAAATGAAAAAGTTGGGAATAAAAACCCCATTACTTTAACAAAGTTATTCACCGAAAATGTGAAAGGCATTGCAGGTGTACACAGAGTAAATGCCTATAAAATAGGTGTGACCTTTCGAAAGCCCGCACCAGCCAATAATTTTTTAAAAATGGACAATTTTTTAAACAAGTATAAATTCAATACCAGCATATATCACAGAAAAAACTGGTATCATAAGATATGTACCGACAGACATGTCCAACGAAGATATTTATAAAAGTATTAGTTGTGATACCGAAGTGATATCCATCAAACGTTTTATGAAAAAAGTAGAGGGAAAACTATCTCCATTGGGCACTGTAGCCGTCACATTTGCAGCTACCACTTTACCACAATATGCCTACATACAATTATTTAGATATCCTATACACACTTATATTCCACCATTAGTCCAATGTTACAAATGTCTGAAGTTTAACCATTCAGCTAAAGTATGCCGTAGCTCACAGATGTGCTCATCATGTGCTGGTCAACACTCATACAAAGAATGTGATGTAGAAGAAATCGTTTGTATCAATTGTAGTGGTAACCACTTAGCAATTTCGAGAGATTGTCCCATTAAAAAGAAGAAAATTGAAGAAAAAAGAAGTAAATATGTCAATCACTCCTATGCCGCTGTTGTGAGTATGCCCTCAAGTAGTACAACCCCAAAAGTATATCCCACTTTAGAGAAATCTTTAAATGTATATAATTCACAATTTAAACAAAATGTAAATAATAATAATACTGCATTCAATGCAGATCAAATTGTAAATAATGAAATTATAATTAATGCATTAGTTAAATCTCTTGTTGCTCTCGGTAACAACAAAGAGAAAATGTCAATAACTAATAAGACAATAAAAGAAATATTGTTGTCAAATTTAATTTAATGAATACATACTTAAATATAGCCCAGTTTAATATACAAAGCTTACAGAGTAAAAAAGCTCTGTTGCAAAAATACATGAATGAACAAAATATTGATATCTGTCTCATTAATGAGACATGGCTTAAAAGTAACAGTAAAATTCCTAAATTTACATCCTATAATTTCATATTCAAAAACTCAGTAAATACACACAATGGAGTGGGTATTTTAATAAAAGAAAATTTTAAATATAATATCATAACTACTACTTTTTATGAATCAGTTCAGAATATATGTATTGCAATAGAAACATCCATAGGCAAATTAAACATACTATGTGTGTATTGTCCTCCTAATGGAAGATTTGATACCAACAAACTGAAAAAATACTTAGTGCTCCTAAGCCATGTCTCATTATGGGTGATTTTAATGCACATCATATTTTGTTTGGTTGTCATACAAACAATAGTAGAGGTAATAACATATACAATCTCATAGATGAACTTGACTTATGTGTGTTAAATGATGGTAGTCCAACCACCATTCAATCACCAAACAGGCAGGCATCAGCAATAGATATAACATTAGTTAGTCCCCGAATAGCTCCTCTCTGTGAGTGGAAAGTCCATGATGACCCGATGGGCAGCTATCACTATCCAACTCACGTAAGTGTAAATGTGAGGCCAACAGTGTATGAGGTCCGACCTGTAGAAGAAAAATTTTTATATAATAAAGCAGACTGGTCGAAATATTTTTCTTTATCAGAAAGTATTTTTTCCCACTTAAATGTACATAATAATGTAAATAATGACACACCATTACAATTTTATAATAATTTTGTTAATATTTTATATGACATCAGAGACAAGACAGTACCAAAATCAAAGTTTAAACAAACTATACACACTTTAAGAAAACCAGTGCCTTGGTGGAACAAAACATGTGATGATGCTGTTCAACAGTCTAAGAGAGCCCTTTTACAATATAGAGTTACCCCAACAATTGTTAACTTCATAAATTATAAAAAAGTTGATGCTAAAAAAAAAAGAATTCTAAAGGAACAACGCATAGATTCCTGGCAAGAGTTGTGTAGTAGCTTCAATAGAATGACACCTATTTCAAAAATATGGAGTTCCATTAAAAAGTTTAAAAGGATAGGTACATCTTCCAACAAAAATTTTAATGATGACTGGGTACAAAGTTTCTTAGATATGTTGACAGCTCCATCACAATGCAATGATGCAAATTTAGTTGATATATTGAATCAATCTGATAAAAATGACAGTGACTCCTTTCTCAACAGACCCTTTACACTGGCCGAGCTTCATATTTCGCTTAAGAGTAGGAAAGATACAACACCAGGTTTGGACAATATTACATATAAATTAATAAAACAGCTACATCCAAATGCAATTAAAATACTATTAGATATATACAATAAACTTTGGGAGAATTTAATAATACCGGAATCCTGGAAAACCCAGTGTGTTATTCCAATTTTGAAACCTAATAAGGATATTAACTGTGCATCATCTTTTAGGCCCATTTCCTTGTCATCGTGTCTAGGCAAACTATTTGAAAACATGTTAAAATTACGTTTGGACTACTTTACTGAAACACAGAATAAGTTGCCAGATATTCAGTTTGGATTCAGAAAAGGCAAAAGTTGTTCTGAAAGCTTTGTAACTCTTATATCCCTATTAAAAAAAGCAAAATTAAGTCATTCCAATGTTGTGTGTGTATTTTTAGATGTTAAAGGTGCTTTCGATAATGTAAATATAGAATCCTTAATTCATGTGCTACATAATTTAAATTTCCCCTGCAAAATATTAAACTGGATTTTTAATTTTTTAAAAAACAGAACTGTTTATGTTAAGTATAATAATATCCTACATGGACCTAAATATGTTAACAGGGGAACAATGCAGGGAGCAACCCTGTCCCCTCTATTGTATGGCTTGTATACATCTGAAATCCTCAATTATGTGGATACTACAAAAGTTAACATACTACAGTTTGCAGATGATTTGCTTTTATACACTGAGAGTCAAAGTTTGCCTTTGGCTATAAATAATATAAATACTGCACTAAATCAATTACAAAAGTATTATTCAAATATTCTAAAACTAGAAATCAGTTCAGAAAAAAGCTCTGTGTTAGTATTTAGTAGAGATACATTCACACAATCTAATCTTAAAATTATGTATAATAACAAAATAATACCCATTGTCCATCAACACAAATTTTTAGGTATAGTTTTGGACAATAAATTAAAATTTGATAAACATATAGATTACATTTGTCAAAATGCAATGAGGAGCATAAATATTTTGAGATGTTTAGCAGGGACTTACTGGGGCTCTGATCCCAAAACACTCAATATACTGTATAAAAGCATAGTCAGAAGTCATTTTGATTATAGTAGTTTAGCCTATATGACTGCTAGTACCACATTGTTGAGGAAATTAGATGTTATACAAAATATAGGGTTGAGAATCATTAGTGGAGCTATGCGTTCCACGCCTATAAATAGTATGGAAGTTGAAAATTGTATACCTCCATTGTCTCTAAGACGTTTGCAACTGGCAGAAAGATTTTGTATAAAGGAATTATCTTCCAGTAATAGTATTGTGCTTAAAAATATTTTATATCCTGCACAGCTTTCTCAGTTAGTTGTAGGTTCCCCCATATCAGCATCTGTTATTATTTCAGGATCATTACCTGAAATTTCAATAATAATGACACATGTTAAAAATGCTACAGGTGGAATATATATAAATGACAAATGGCCAGTATACAAATGTCCGTATGATTCACTAATCTGTTTCCTTGACACTATATTTCATTTAGATATAATATATAACAAATATGACTTTGCAGAATTTTTAAATAAGAAATCAGAATTTTATGTTATTTATACCGATGGTTCTAAAAATTTAAATGATGTTAAAGCAGCTTATTATGATCCACAAAAGAAATATACTAAATGTATTAAACTCAAAAGTAATTGCAGCATCTTTACAGCCGAAAGTTATGCTATATTAAGTGCTTTGTTATATGTTAATAACCTTGTAAATAATGTAAATATACTAATAGTTACTGATTCGAAGAGTGTATTGGAGACTTTATCCAGTGGCAATTGTACATATAAACAAAATTATATTATATATGAAATAAAAAATAGGTTAATAACTTTAAGTAAAAATAAGAATGTAGAATTTGTATGGGTACCCTCACACAGTGGCATACCTGGAAATGAGGTCGTAGACTTGGCAACTCGTCAACAATATGATGAAGATCAGACAGACATTTTGAAAGTGCCATTTACCGACTACTACCAATATTTTAAAAGTAAGTTACGAAGAGTGTGGAAAGAGTACTGGAACATAAGCACAGAAAATAAAGGAAAATGGTATGCAGAATTACAGCCAGACTTACCAGTGACACCTTGGTACAGCAAATTCAAATATTACAATAGAAAATTTATCACTATCATCAATCGTCTACGTTTCGGCCATTGTTTAGTTCCATCCCATCTCAACAGAATTAAAATCACAAATGACAACAGATGCAACCACTGTTTCAAGATAAATGCTGACATAAACCATATTATATTTGAATGCCAAGTTTTCAACATACAACGGTTGATTCTTGTCAGTGACATTAGTGACATCGCAAAGGAACACTCACAAAGTATTCCCCGCCGCGTTCAAGATTTGCTATCTCACTTTGCATATTTTATTCCAATATATAACTACATTGTACATACTGTGGAAAAAATTTAATATTAATGAATTATTACTAAAATTGTACTGTCTAAGCTTATATAATAGTTTATTTCTTATGTTTTGTATTAAATTCATTATAAAAATGTGTTCGACTGAAGGACTTGTATCCATGGTCATGAATAAAGCATTATTAAAAAAAAAAAAAAAAAGATTGTTACGTCACATCATATAGGAGATATAATTCTACATTTGATTTTCATTTCTTCTTTCCTAAAAACACTTGTTCATTCTATCGCGTAATATAAATATATTACACAAAATGAGTGCATGGAGACAGGTTGGACTTAAGTAAGTGCAAATTACATGAATATTTTTTACTGACTTTACTGACAGCAGATAATGTATAAGGTTATTTTCTTATAGTTACATAAACTACTCCAATATTGCTGCAAAGGTTTTGCGTAAATCATTAAAACCGCAACTACGAACGGAAGCCTTACGAAGAGATGAATCCCACGTCCGTATAACTCCATGGGCAAATGGCAAACCAGCTCGTAAGTATTTTTTTAATATATCCTAGTATCTTGCGATGGCATAAGTATGATTTTATGATTTAAATATAAATATTCCGAATAATATAGTTATATGACGTAAAAATTAGGATGTAAATCCTTCCAAATTTTCGACAAATTTATTTTAATTTACATCAATTCAAAAAGATTACTATATGGAAAAGATTATACTCAAAAAGATCAAGCACGCCTGCTTGAATATGTCTAAATCAAACAAAATTGGTAATCTTTTATTTAAGTCATGAATAACATTGGATATGTATAAACAATGATATATGTCACCTGCTCTTTTTTTAATGTTATAATGAAAAAAAAGCCCTTGGCGGCATACCAATTAAATACTGTGCCTCACATTTTGATATTTGCAGGTTTAATACAAACTTTGTATGTTATGGCCCCTTCTTATAATTGTGTATTCTTTTCTATATATTAAAATAATTGCCACATTTGTCTATTGTCTAGCATACAGTACCTGAGAGTAGAGGATACTCTATGATATGTTTTTAGGGCATTTTATTTATTTGTTTATTATATATTTATTTTTCAGATGAGAAGGAATAAATTATATAGTAAGTCATAATTCCAATGGTTTGAGTGTTTGATAAATTATCAACACAAAAGTTCTTTTAGACTTATCATTAATCATGTTTTTAACATAATGGGATCATAAATATAGTATAGTATACATATAGATAATAATTGGGTAAAGCTTTATTTTAGTATAGTATTTTACCTGTAGTATTAGTTTGCCACAATGAAGCTGACATAATAACAGCAATTCTATAAAACTCAACATTTAACATTAAATAGGTGTGCTCAATAAATAAGAGCTTCTTTTTAATAATCTATTTAGAAACCGCCCAAGTGTGCAGCTAACATTTGTTACTGTGTGTAAGTGTATAGAATAGAGAAAATTACTACCAATTCTAGCATGGGGCAATTAGAAAATGACTTATGCTCAGCATGTTGTTTCTGTTAACTGAGAATGTCAAGGATTATTCCATATTGAAATTATTGAACAGTGTATTCTATAATTACTGTTGTTCATTGATAAAACAAATCTGAATACATTTCCTCATAGATTTATTTGGAAAATAACTTACACCCACCTATGATATATATTTGTGTAATGTGTGAAAATTAAGTAACAGTGTTTTATAATACATACATTCATATATGTATAAACATATTCATTTGAGATGGTTGTGTAGTAACATACATAATTATTGTATCAATTTTTTTAATTTTAAAAAAATTGTGTAAATTTTGAAACTATAAATAATGGATAATAAGTGCTCATAACCATCTGACTATTTTAGCAGGCATATGGTAGATGTAAGTTATCTCATAACTTTCCTCTATCTTATATTATAGGATCATCTATCTACAAAATATAATCGAAATGTCTTATATCTTCTAAACATTAAAATTTGTCAAAAATACTTCCTAGTGATCTGAGTCTTCTTCTCAAATTGATTCATTCGAAGTACAAGATGTAAGAATATATTCTTAGATCAGTTTGATCCAGCAGGATTGTAAGCTGAAAAACTAAGCTTTAGGGATGTATCTACTATCTGACAAAAAAAATCAACTAAAATATTATTATTAAAATATTTTAGATATGCTTTTAGTTCAAATATCTAACTATAGTAACAACATATTCTCAGTAATATAATAACGATTTGAAATGTAACACATGTACTGCATCCATGTTCCTGTGTGTTTATTGATTGGCAATACTAACATATTCATTGTTTTGAGAATAAAATATTTACATTATTTTTTTTATTTCAGATTTACAGAATGTCGCACCAAAATAAGAGGGAAAATTCTTGTAAATATATGTGGCTATCAAGAATTATTTATAATAGAGATTTAATTTAATAAAACATGTAACATCTAACTGTATTTATTTTCTATCACATTTGTTTTGTATTTACATAATAAATAACTGACTAAGATGTTACACTGATTCAGTAGGTGTACATTTGTTAGTGTCTATCACAGGAACTTCTATAAATCTATTTATATTCAGAAGTTATATTTTTTTAATCTTGTTACCCTAACTGGTATTTGGGCAGCCTTCACTTCATTTATTAAACTTTTCCCTAAAGGTGCAACAGGTGTTACACTACTAAGATCAATATCTAAAGATATATCAAATTTTTTTCTAAATTTCTCCACTCCATTCCATGCTACCATGACCCCATTATCAGTACACAATCTAGATGGAGGCCTGTAAACATTATATCCTTTTTTCTTACCAATCAATTGAATGGCCTGAAATATAATATCATTACATGCAACACCACCAGAAACAATAATAGTTTTATCACGTCTGCTTACAAGATTTCTTTCTTCACAAAATATCAAAGCTCTTTCAGTTCTGTGAACTATGTGTTCTGCAATAGCAAGCTGAAAGGCAGCACACAAATCATAAACTTCTGGAATAATTGCATCACCAACTATGCCATGGTCAGTTTCTTTCCTTAGCAATGTACGGAACACAGAATCTTTTAGACCACTAAAACTAAAATTACAATCTCTATATTTGGTTAAGGGTAAAGGAAACTTAAACTGTTCTGGATTGGAAGCTTTTCGTGCAGCTGTCTCAATTGCTTTTCCTCCAGGCATTAATGAGAACTCAGCTATGTTTTTTAACTTTAATCTCCTTGCAACTTTGTCCATAATTTCACCTGGTGCATTATCTAATCCCTCACCAAGCAAAAAGAAATTGTCAATATCTTTAACAAGAGCTAAAAGACAATGTCCTCCTGATATAAGTAAAACTACAAACGGACATGTTATAGTTTGATACATTCTAGCGATCAAAGCATGGGCTTCCATGTGGTGAATAGGTATTAAAGGTTTGTGAAACTTTCTTGCCAGATATTTTGCATATTTTACTCCAACTTGCAGATTGATGAGCATACCAGGTTTCGTAGTTACTGCAATTGCATCTAAATCTGATATTTTGAAATTTGATAATTCTATTGCTTCATTTACGGACAATTCAATATTATTGCGATGAAGTTCATATGCAATAAGTGGATTTACACCACCATATCGTATGTGTACATTATTTTGTGAATACAAAGACTCGCCTAGTATTCTACCATTACCATTAACCACAGCACAACCAGTATCATCACATGATGTTTCAATTCCTAAAATAGCTACTGCACTAGAATATCTTGCACTTACAATTGATACAGTTCTATGAGCTTTATGAACAGATTTAATGTGTGTAAACATAATGCAAGTGTTGGTAATATTACTGTACACATGTATAGATTAGTATCACAATTTTTATTTTCTTAACCCTACTAATGAAATTAATATTATAGGTAAATAAGTGATTGTAATAAACTGAATAAACAAATAAATACAATAAGTATAGTGTTCACTTATTTGTTATTTATGTCTTCTTGTATGTAAGTTGTTATCGACGTAATATCGGCTCGTTAGCCATAGCTCCACGTCCTTACTCCGCGGCGCTTGCGCAGGGACTCCCTTCCCTCTTGCGCACGGCGGTCCGTGTACGCTCGGCTCGAGACGATAGATAATAAACTGCTAGTGTTTCCACATACACTACATCTCTCTCCTTTTTAAGTTTATTTTCTTTTCAAGCATGAATCAATCCACTCTATTAGGTATTTGTTCCTTGGAGGCATGTGTGCTACGTTACAACGATGGTGGACTCATTTTGACACTATACTGCCACACATAAGCCGAATGCCTCTAGTGCGATTGGCCTTTCCAGCGTAACCAGCACCGTGATTTTTTTCCTCCTCTTTTGAATATAAATTACATTTATATATTAACTCCAATTTACTCTGTGTTTCACATACTTCACCTTTCTTCTTTTATATTTGTTTTCATATAATCGTTATTCCACTTTGTTATTGTGTAATATTATGTAAGATTAGTATAAAGCACTTCTGAAAAAATGTTGTATGTTTATGACCAGAATATCTTTATCATAGTAGTCACTACTTTATATTTTGTAGGTTTACGGTAAATACTTATATTTTTTTTCCATTCTATCTGTCTCATGCAATGTTTTATTTACTTGTAGTATTTTTCTTTATCATGTACATTTGAAAACTGATTATGTAAAACATAATCTGGAATTTCTTCAAAACTCCCCACTATTTATTATTATCATTCCATACAATATTGATGGGTCCTGTGGTGGTATACCAGAATATTATTATTATATCAAGAGTTGCATCAACAATTGCAAACGACTTTCCACTATATTCTGTCTACACATCTGATATCAGTCCATGTAGTATTAATTGGGTATGAATATAACCATTCTTCATCGTACAAAATTATCTCTCTTATCACCTGCATTAATTCAGTGCTAAAATATTAGGAAAGGTTGTCAGACCAGTCTTTGAGCGATTGACATATACCACATATATCACCACAGCGACTCTACGTACTCCAGCAATCGTCAATTATATTAGTTATAGAAATTATATTTTCGACCAAAATTAATTTGTGTACTATGACTTTTGATTTATTATATTTTACTGAATCCGCTCCATTTCACTCCGATAATTAATATGCATTAAAACTGGCAATTTTTTTTTTTATTACTTATATTCAACCGCAATTTAATGCTACATTCTATCAATTTACCTTTAATGAATAGGACACCATTCATCAATACACAATACAATGCTTGATGACCCCGCCAAAGACAATTTAACACAAACTGGACGTTAATACGCAATTTAATGCTTAACGACCCAGCCAACGCAATTTAATGCAACCTGTCCGCCAATACGCAATTTAATGCTTGACGGCCCAGTCCAACGCAATTTAATGCAATCTGTCCATCAGTTCGCAATTTAATGCCTGATGGCCCAGCCAACGCAATTTAATGCAATCTGTCCATCAGTTCGCAATTTAATGCCTGATGGCCCAGCCAACGCAATTTAATGCAATCTGTCCATCAGTTCGCAATTTAATGCCTGATGGCCCAGCCAACGCAATTTAATGCAATCTGTCCATCAGTTCGCAATTTAATGCCTGATGGCCCAGCTAACGCAATTTAATGCAACCTGTCCGTCAATACGCAATTTAATGCTTGACGGCCCAGTCTACCTTACCACTGTAGCTCCTTTTTTAGAATATCAATGCCATTGTCACCGTCATTATAATCCATTGAACTTCTTAATTCATCCTCTTTAAGTATTAGTATTATGCTCATTGTTTTTCTTCCTTTGCTAATTTCTTTAAGGTCATCTGAGCCAATAGTCACTTTATAAGCAAATCATGAACTCCTGCAAAACACCAAATTTTATAATTATAGCACAATTAAACGCCACTCTTATCCATTTAATTTTCACAATATATACATTTATGACTACTAATATTAAACATATTTCAGATTTATGTACTCCACAAGAATGTCCAGTAAATAATTCTAATCTAAAGTATGGGAATACTAATAGTATCCTCAGAACTATTTTTTTTTTCCAATAATGTATCGTTAGTAATTGTTACTATCATGCATCATGGTTTACATTATTATCTAGTAATAATAATAATAATTGTGCAGCCATAACATAACGCACCTCATTCACAATAATATACCTCGTATATAACGACTTCCTTGATTTAACTAATTCTTTGTAATCCCTTGGATTTTCCATAAGAATCGATGTAAAATATACCTTTACATTGCGACATTATTTTTTTTTTTTTTTTTTTAATTTGTAAAAACACCTCTTTCTAAGGAATTTTCTTAACCCAAAACCTTTATATAATGTTCCCACCAATGGTATGACTCTAACTCTACTTATCTCTTATCTCATACAATGTGATTCATGTCAGGACATGTTTCGACGTACTTTCGTTCGTAGAACAATAATTGTTGTTCGATGGAAAGTAATGTAAAGTTTTGTAAACACTGCTGCTCGTCACTATTGTTAAAGATTCAAGTGAAATGAAATGGCTTAGACAGGTTTTTTTACCTTTTTATAACGAAGTTTAGACCAACGTACCTTCAACATAGTAAATCTCAGTTCAACGAATTACTTGATATACTATATATATTTTCGATTTGTTTTATCGAGGTTGCACTGTAGTACGTATGTAAAAGTTAAAACACGCTAATTTGTCTAACCCAGCAATGCGGCCAAAGTATTTAGAGAGCGACCAACACCAGTACTATGACGATAAACAAATACATGTATATATTTTACAACTACTACAATGAAGCAGGTATCATTTCCTATTAGCTATCTCAAAACTCAAAACCACATTAATACACTTATTTCGCGTATCGCGACACTACACAATTCCAGCCGCAACTGGATTAACTGTCAATTAAAAATGACTCCCCATCGCTCCAACATCCCTGTCACATTCATATAAAACAGCTGTCAGCGCTGTCTGCATGTGATCACAAAACAAATTCTAACTCAGCTCACAGCTACTAAATGCGGTACATTAATGCAATTATGGCTATTATTCCTATTATTTATTCAAGCTTCTTTAAATAAAGAATATTCATATTCTATTCCATGTTCCCGAAACTTCAAAGAATATAAAAACATTTTTTTTTTTCACTCTAATAACCCCTTCACTCATCCGCATAATGCATTAGGCGAGTAGGTACAATAATTCAGAACTTAATAGTAGTTCTATTTCATGTAACCATTATTGTGCAATTTCTAATTTACTGGTATTTTTAAATTAGAGAGAATCTTAAATATGATTCCATAAAGACATACTCACCACCACTGTACTATACTATAGCTTATTATTAAAAGTTAATCACTGTCCTTTCTGTAAAATAATAGAATAATTCTATATACATAATTAGGTATCCTTTTTCTCGTTCCAGTGTTACTGACTATAGAAACCACACACCGCATACAGAAACAGCACTCCTGTACCTTACATCCGGCCATAACTAGCGACACACTTCCTCGCAATATAATAGTCGGCATCTCAACCTCTTGACTACGTTGTTTTTTGTTTTTCTTCAACAAATTCATTAGACACTAAATTCACCAAACCAAAAGATTGCCTTCTAGGTCGCAAGTTGTAGATGCGCGCTTCATTTTAACACAAAGCACAAATTGTTAAAAATATGCCATACAAGTAGATAGGCACCTTGCACTACACAACATGTATAGTAGACCCCAACATAATATATCAAACTAATAATTAATCTACATTTAAAACCTTCCTATGTAAAACAATTGCAATTCCCACCGGCATCCATTGGAATGCTCACTAATAATTATTATTTATAAATTATATAATCCAAAAGCCAAATCCAATCCAAATAAAAACATTCATTTTAACCACACTACTTCGCGGCTCTGCTCGAATACCAGAATAAAATAGTCTGCAGGTATTCCGAACAACTCATCCGCATCGAAATGTATGGGACACTGTTACCCAGATACTTCAACACTTGCAATCAATTAAGGCAAATATAAATATTGTCCACCAAGCACTGCTCAAACCGTGTGTGTCACCCCACCTTAGATTTTACTATTGTTGTACAAAACAATATACATATACAAATATAATACCCAACATCAGTACTATAATACAGGTACAATTGTCAGCTCACCATCATTTGTAATAATATCGTATCACCCGACAACATCGTAATATTATCCCGTACAAAATGTAATATTAGGTTATCATGTGATCATTACAGTTAGAAAGAGGAACTTTAGACCATTTTCATTTGCAGCAATACCCTAAAAGAAAATAGTGACATTTGAACACTAGTCGCCACATCTGTATAAATACAATAAGGCGGCCCTATTGCCAAAAGTAATTAAAGTGCATCGACACCTAGAAAAGATAAAGCAAAACAAACGTGTCGTCCGCACAGTGCTCTATTTTACTTCATATCCACAGGTCTATTGCATCACGTAATATGATGTCCCACTAAACATCTCACCGTCACCGTCCCCTCATGAAACGAACATGCAGCGGCGACTACAATCATTACCGATTTTTATTTCAACACGGAAATACGGAAGGAGGAATGGGATTGTTAAAATAATCCCACTGCTAACAATGTATCACGCCAGAGGGACCTCCACGCGGTTCCCCCCAGCAACAATCGCGACAAATTAACACGAACCCACCACGACGGGCCAACCGATCCTATCCCCCCCGCTCATTCTACCATACTCCATCAGTGCCACGCCAGCGCAGGCAGTACACCATTATCATACATTAAAAATAATAAATCACGGATATACGTAAACATATTACTACAATGATTATTAATACGACTATTCCTACCAGCTAGAGACACTATAGGTATAGCAAGTACAATTTATAATTAGGTACCTACTTACTTGGCGTAAATCGATCGTAAACCGATGTTACCCAGCTATTGTTTTTTCTGTATAGGTATAATTCGCTCCCCGTGCGGCCCCACCATAATCCTTCTAAATTTGTAATTACTCCGTACCCGTAGGTATATGTATATCTTATTAAATGATTTTGTACTTATCTTTATTTATATCCATTTTGCCTCGTCGCCACATATAGTGTTCACTTATTTGTTATTTATGTCTTCTTGTATGTAAGTTGTTATCGACGTAATATCGGCTCGTTAGCCATAGCTCCACGTCCTTACTCCGCGGCGCTTGCGCAGGGACTCCCTTCCCTCTTGCGCACGGCGGTCCGTGTACGCTCGGCTCGAGACGATAGATAATAAACTGCTAGTGTTTCCACATACACTACAATAAGTATATAGTTTCTGGACGTCGTCACCGGCTAATTGACTGGGTTAATTCAGTATTATCATATGTCATATTATTAATTATTATGTAATTTATAAGAACTACTGAACTATATAGTAGAATGTACTCTCCAAAACGAAGGATGCGAACTCGTGCACAGATAAATGTCAATCTTTCATTAGATCTTTCAATAAAATACAACAAGATAGTATAAGTAAGAATCAAAGAATATACTACTCAAGAGGTAAGAATATACTACTCAAGAGGTAGGGATGTTAAAAAATAATCGATTTTTATTTAAATCTATTATTATTTTCTTATAACGGATTTTAAAAATCGATTTTGATACTAACAATAATCGATTATATAAATTACGCGTTATAATCGATTTTTATAAACAGCGTTTTCAATTATCGTTTCATTTTATTTTAAAGTCACTCTTACGTAAAACGAGACTGAAAACTAGTGCAAGTAATTATTTTTCGTCTTTTGATTGTGTAAACTTAAAGATTAACGCAAGATTTGTTTTATACTTTAGTTTTTGAGACTATAACGTAGTCGTTTAGTTTTTTAATTATCGTTTTCAGTATTTTATTTTAAAACTAATCGAATGTAAATTAGTACATTTATAGCAATTTTTTTATTTGATTTATATTTCAGTTATTGAGACAATATGGTTTCCATTTTGTTGGGATGCTCATCGTTTCATTTTTATTATAATAAAACATTTGATGGTACTAAAATTTGTATAAATAATATTTCGTTTCCTTATTCCTTACCTTGAAAGATTAAACTACCGATTCGATTTCGATTTTGATTTTTAGTTTGAATTGATTATTTTTTTTATATAATTTTATTTGTTATTATTAATCTAATAAATTATTAATATGATTATCTTAGGAGTATTATTGGATGAATAATAGAAAAATCGATTATTTCGCAAAAATATTTATTTAAATAAAATCGATTGTTGACAAATCGATTAATATTAAATAACTAAAAGTCGATTTTTATTTAATCAATTCTTTTCGATTAATCTAACATCCCTACAAGATAGGTAGGTTTGCGGGAAAATCATTTATTTGCCTAGATGTTGATCATACTACTACACTTTTTCTGACATGAGTCGGGAGCGAACAAATTAGAGATTGACACATCTCTAATTTGTCTCGAGTTAACTCAAGTTGTTGCGAATTCGAGTTTTATTCTGGCAACTCGAGTTGAAAGAATTCAACTGGTAAATGAACGAATCAGTTGAAAGAGCGAGAGCGAGAACATTCTGTCGTCGAACCGACAATGACATGAATTTTTCCGATCATATCATATCATACAATTTTCACTCGTCACAAATGTTTCAATATTGATTTGAGGTCGTAATTTTTTTTTCGCGTATTCGTCCGGTTATGTTATCATTAAAATGATTATGCGTACCATAAGTCGAGTTAACTCAAGTTACCTGAATTTCAACTCGAGTTAATTCGAGTCATGTTTATTACGAGTTAGCACATCTCTAGAACAAATTATATCGCGAGACAGCTGTGAACTAAATTTAGTGGTGGGAGTTACGAATTATTGTAATAATTTAAATATTCATAGATGCCATATATGCGTTCCTGAATCAAGTCATAGGAAGACAATAGGTTTACCAATCTCGTTGTTTCTTTTAGGGCGAAAATAGCATTACAGGGTTTACGCAAGAATAATCTACATATGACTATTATATGCACATTCTATGCCTATGATATCCAATATTCTGTATAAAATATTCTATTACCTTAATATTTACGACCCTTGGAATGTGGGTGTTCTTGTTTTTCTTAGACCCCTATGATTAAAATGAAATCGTATGTTAAAAAAAAATAAGTGTTTATGATATGATTGATAGCTATGGAAGGGGATTGTTAGCGATGTAGAGTAATCACCCATAGTTATCAATGTAGCTACCGTGTAAAATTGACCTCCACATGGCTCCCCCTTGAAACCATCATGATAAATTCGTAGTGAATAGGCTAACTAACCTGACCTCGTCCTTGTTTTAACACCCTCCACTGGTAAACCGCCGCCAAAGTAAACCGTTAGTGCAGACGGGTGCACCATTCTATTATCATTCATAAGATATATTCAAAATCTCAAAATAACATTTTAACAGTTTATTTAATATACATCATATTAAGAGACATACAATATCATTTGATAATATATATTTTTCTTACTAAAAAGGTGATCGAAGTGAGTAATTGAGCCCGTGTCACCAACAGTTTGGAATACAAAAATCGATTTTATCCATAATCGATTATTTTTATCTATCCCTAATCTGTGGTGGTCTCTTCGTATACTATTTTATTTATTTAGCTTTCGACCGTGCGATTTAAAAACATTAAAATTATACTAAAACAAATAAGTAAAAATTGATTAACCTTACGTATTTGTTTAATTACGAAACCAAGTAAGGTTTCGTGTACCTATTATAATTCTTGATGTGTCAATAAAATTACAACAATTTATTTGTGTCAACTTTACTATCATCTGGTATGTGACGTATGTTTATCAAATCCTATTTTAAATGCCAATATAAGTATTAATACAATTTTTCTTGTATTCTTATATTTATTTGTTTACACCTGAATCCACAAAATTATTATGTTAGTTTCATATATCATAGGTACATATACCTTATATGTAGCATATGGTTTGCAAGACTAATTAAATCAATAAATTAATGCAATAATGAATTCTTAATTGGAATAACTGTGTTAATTTCTTAGATAATAGTTATATTCTTACGCACACCATCTCAAATACCTCCTAAGCTAAGATTAGTTACAATAACTTTAAATTATTATTATTAAATTAAATATGATGTAATGAAACCAAAAACCATGAATATAATTTTCATATTATTGGTGTACAACTTATAAATTACTTGTACAATAGAAATTATCAAAGACAATAATAAAACAGATCTGGCATGCTGTCATATCCTATATATTACATATCAGCACTCAAGGCGATACTTGTGAGGGAAGTTACCTCCAAACTTCTCAATTTAACAGATTAACTAGTGGTGTACAAGTAAATAACGTAAAATATATTACTGAACAACATAAAATTATATAAAAACACATTTATTACAACAATATAGATAGTATGGATCAATTAACATAAAAGCAGACAAGATCACAATGCAGAGTGCATTGCGATCTTGTCTTTTCAAATATTCTAACATACTGCGTCAGCTATACCAGACAGTCTTATTATCGATTGCAAACCTTGTCCTAACTAAAATGATTATATGAAGCTCTTGATTAAATACATAAATAAATCTGTTATGTGCAGTGGTACCATATATAATTAATATTTTTTTTATTTCAGAATAGTTACTTAATAAGTACAATGAGTAGTTCAGATCTTATCTTAGGAAATAAAAAATTGAACATGGATGAAGATCCTCTATTATTGAAGACAAAAACCCCAGGTTTAAAATGTGACATTGTTAATGAATGTCAGATGTTTTTAAAAGCTGAAGATGGAAGTGGTGATTCTGATTTAAATGCAGTGAGAAGTATAGGAGAGGGCAAAGCAGGTAATAGCTTGCATTTCATATTACTAAATTTTTAATTTCGCAGCACATTAACTTGTGTTATATGACATGATCACAATTGTGAGTGTGAGATAAGTGGAGGGCACTCATCTGATGTATCCAAATGAGTTGGTGTTAATGTGTTTTATATATAATTTATACATATGTACATTCCAAGTAGACTTCTTTAAACTAAGACACTTACACATCATAACAACAAGCTGCCCTTAGGTATCCTGTATAATAGATGTGTTAAACACTGTAAATGTAAATAAATAACAATGTAGAAAAACATAAAGTTTACATTATATTATTGGTGACATTTCTCAAAATTAGCTCAACAAAGAACCATATTTAGGCAAAGCCTCTAGGCTTCATTTATTGATTGCTATAACCAATTTATAATCAAACTTAAATCATTATTGTTTATTCAATTTTCACTATAAAGACTAGGAATGGAAAGTGTAATATTATTAGTACTTCTTAATATTTTTATTTAATTGTGTATCATAATAGGTTCAGTACTGAGTATTGTTTTAATCTACATAACAATTCCTTTTCAGATAATGCAAATTTTGTTACTTCAACTCCAGATCAAAAGAAAGACTCTTCCTCAGAAAAAGAAATTAGAGATTCCAAACCAGAGGGTGATGTTGATGGTAAATTTATGATTTTCATAGTAGGAAATGTTACGAATCCTGCACTTTAATGGGCAGGCCCCATTAAAGTGCAGGATTCGTAACATTTCCTAGCATTGTCACTCCTGTCTTATTGTACCACAAAAAAACAATAAAACAAAAAAGTTCTTTGAGTCTTTTAATTTATTTAACAAATTTAATTTGTATGTACAAAATCTAAACCAATATTGGATGTTTTTAAGAGTAATTTTTTTTAAAAACCCATACTTCTGAATCTTGTTACAGGCTTTGCATTGGCTTAAAACTGTACTGATTAAAATAGTAATTTAATATTAATTGAATTTGTTTTTAAGAATATATATGTTTTTAGTATTATTATTGAATTATAGTGATATAAAAATAGCACTGTTAAGATGGTAACTGTATATGTTATGACTGGTAGAACTGTTAATGTGATATTTTACCATTTCTAACATTGTCATAACATTATATATCTAATTTATGTATGATAACTAAAATACCTAAAAATAATAATACCTTTTTTCCCTTTTCTCATAATTTGTCATAAGGTAATAGAAATGATAATATTTAAAAATGCTTATTTGAATAAATATCTATTTAAAGTATTTTCCTGATAGTCTAGCAGGAGTCCAAATTACTTAAAACTGATTGTGAATTCTAGATTTGCCATTAGATAATGGATTACCAAACACAGTGACGGTGCTAGATGCCCCAGATGGTGGTAAAGTTTATTTAGTTGGCACAGCTCACTTTAGTTTGGAATCACAAGAAGATGTGTCCAAGGTAAAGAAATATATTATTAATATATGTTCCATGCGACTGTTCACTGTCAGACAGAATATAGATGTTATGGTGAATGCAACACTTGACATGGTCACATTCCACTGATATTATGACATTATAAAATTTTCCAATATTAATTATATTACTATTATACTATGATATACTCACGTATGAGCTCTACCAATTTATTAAATTTATTTAAACTATGTATAAATATTTTACTCTTAATTACTTTATTTATAGGTCATACAAGAAGTTAATCCACACATAGTGATGGTGGAATTGTGTCTACAAAGAACTAATATGTTACTTCTAGATGAGGAAATAATATTAAGGGAAGCTAAGAATATAAATATTAAGAAAATTAGGTAAAGTTGAAAAAAAAAATTTATTTGTTGTTTAACTCTACTACTAAGTTTTTGTATAGTCTCTTATTAATATTTATAATATATTAAACAGCAGTAGTTATGTGACAAGTTTAAATTTTATATTCTTATCCCTGCTACATAAACATTACAATAAAATGTGCATTCATGAATACTAGGACAGACAAAGAAAGGTAGAGCCAAGACTTATATTTGAATCCAATGTGACTAGAAGTCTATCGCCATTATAATATTAATTTGATTTGAAATCGTAGTTTCATCTGAGGGATAGTCAGAAGTAGAACTTGACATATTACGTTTTTTATGTCAGCCAGATTTGAGCTTACGACCCTCTGGTCTAAGTTGAGTTAGTATATCAGTAGAATACGATAATCTAATAATTAAAAGTTGTTATGTTGTCATTAATTATTCTGATCAAGTTATTAATAATAAAGAATTCTTTAATATTGATACCTATATGATATTGCAGGGCAACAATGGCACAAAATGGAGTGTTCAATGGCCTTATGTATATTTTGTTGCTGAACATGTCGGCTCATATCACTAGAGAATTGGGTATGGCTCCAGGCGGAGAATTCCGACGTGCCGTGGCCGAGGTATTTCATTTATTCCATTTTGTAAAATATTGCTATTTAAATTTCTTCCCATTATTGATTCCAGTTATGCTGTTGCCATAGATTTAGTTAAAATTAATTACCAAACTTACCTAGTACTATTTTTCTCAGTCTGGTCATTTATTGACCAAAACGGAAAAACCAGTACTACTACTGAGCTAAATATTAATTTTCATTTGTTAATTGGGTATAAAGAGTTTAAAGTGGAAGTATTAACCTGTTAACCGAAGAATTTCCTTTTTAGAATAGAATAGAATAGGGCGCGAGCTATTTCACTAGGACGTGTCAGTAAGTCACGCCCGGACAAAGTAACATAGACTATATATGTAATATAGATTTTTTTATGTTTTTGAGAACTACTTAGTTTGTTACTCAGTTCTGGTTTGAAGTCAACGTCTGAGACACCATGAATATAATCAACCTTTATTTTATTTAAAATTGTAATGTACATTCTAATAAGGTTTTTTGTTTATTCCAGGCTAAAAAACTTCCGAACTGCATTGTACAACTTGGCGATAGAGCAATTGATATCACTCTCCACAGAGCGATAGCCTCTTTATCATGGGGACAAACTATACGATTTGTATGGCATCTGCTCACTTCCAATCAGACCATTAGGTATGATAATTAACTTTCAAACAATAACAACTTTTTAAAGTTGCAACATTGTAATCTGGATGTTTTTGTGTCAATGAGCCAAAACAAGTTCATTTGACAATATTGTCACATTACCTTGAAATGAAATATACCTAAAATGTATGTTTGTAGAATGAGCTTATTTTTGCCTTTCGCGTTTAATATCTAGTTAAACGGGTTTTAATATATAATTTAAATATATCAATATATTTAATTAAATTAAAACTTACAATTAATGAAATTATTATATAAATGTAAGAAATTATTATAAAAATAATTCACTACTTACATACTACAATAAACAGTATATTATGTAGCGACACCTTATCACATCATACATAACGCTACAGTAATTAGGATAACCACCGCGTTACTTATTACGACAAAAAGTACTCACTATATCAGTTGTACTAACATATTTAAGTTTTAAGCATGCCTAACACAAAATATGGATTTTTGCTCAACATTTTGAAACAGTTTATCCTATTTAAATAATGATATTTGTAAATTTCCATGGCTTTTTTCACCTAGAATGGTGAAAAAAGCCATAATAGGTAACGGGGTTCATTAGAAAATATTTTTGTCTAATGAAATTTTACCCAGTAATTCGGACCCGAGTCTATTAAGTATTCAGCTATAGCAGACTTGTATTTGTCATTTTCTTTACTGTTTCTTAATATCACAACTCACATAGTTGTATACCTTTGTAGGAATTTACCGCGATAATAATATTATCATAATAAATATCTCGTTTATATAATGCGTACAATTGTTATTTGAAGTACAATAACAAACACAAATCATAGGATGTAAACACTATTTTGACCTACTTATTTTAAAACGAAAATCTTTTATTTGCTTTAGTGCTGAAGACGTTGAGAAATGTAAACAGAAAAAGATGTTGGATGATATGTTAGAAGAGATGTCTCAGGAGTTTCCAGCCCTTGAGCGAGTATTTGTCGTTGAGAGGGATATGTATCTCTGTCACTCTCTACAAGTGGCAGCATTGCAACCCCGTTAGTATTTTTTTAAATATTTGTTTTTAATGTCTCATACAAATTATATACTACGTTCAATGTTAAGTTAATTTTTAAAAATTATATATTTTGAACCTCTAAATCTCTTTGTTATGACACAAACATTATGAAAATGCAAGTAGCTAAATATATGTATAGATTTATATTTATTATATGTATTAACGATAATTATAATTATTTAACAGGTAGAGAACCTTGTCGCATTGTCGGTGTTGTGGGTATTGGTCATGTCGCCGGCATTGCACAGCATTGGGGCAAGATTGGGCCACAAGACATAAAACCTCTATTGGAGTAAGTACCGTGTATTTTTTTCATCAATTTTATCTTTGTACATAATTTTATTCAATCTGCCAATCATTATGATCTAAATGAACTGTATTTATTGTATGATATCCTATACAGGTATTTATATTTGCTTTTAAATACTGTATCTACGTATAATATTATAAAGAGATCTCTGTCATTAGAAATATAAATTAAAGACCGAATTGAGAAATTATTTTTCTCTCTGAAACGAATATTTAGTACATGGAATGAAATAGGAAAGAAAAGTCCTTATGACATTGTATATATATTTTATTTGTTTCTTCTTTTTTATATAATCTGTTATTTTAAATTTATAATGAATTCTAAAATGTGTATGATTGTATGTATATGTTGATGTAAATAAAGTAAATATTTATAATATATTTATCACATTGTTAACACTAATTGGATATGTAAAGAATAAAATAAATAAAATTACAATATTTAAAAAAAGAGCAATGCATAACTGTTGAAGTTGGCTCTAGGTACTCAAATGATAGAAAGTTACGTACTTCAATATGTGGACCCTGATAACCTAAACCTGATATTACACCTGTGCCCCATTTATAGGTATGTGTGGTGTATGTACCTTATGTAGAAAGGGAGAAAGTAGAATATTTTTTATTGTTAGGATTAGTGTGTAAAGGATAGGAGTATAATGATGGTTGTCTTGTCACAGTTTTCGAGGCACTAAATGTCTAATCATTGTCTTGCCTTTATCCTATTATTTGGGGACGGCGCAGTATATCGTCCTCTTCCACTGATCCCTATCGGCCGTCATATATGAGCATACTTTCCTTTTATTCATATCATATTTCACACAATCCATTCATCCTTGTTTTGGTCGTTCTTTCCCTTTCCATCCTTCCACGTTCATATTATAAACTTTCTTTAAGACATGATCCTCACTCATAGGTATAACATGCCCATACCAAGTCAATCTGTTACATCGCAAATTACAAACTTACGCGTACTAGATATGTTATGTATATTCTGTCGTTCCTGGTTATTCCACACATCCATCTCAACATACGCATCATCGCCACATGCACACGCCTTTCATACGTCCACTTAACTTCGGATTCGGATCCATACAAAATGATTTATAAACTTTATTTTCCTTCCATTAGTTTCAAGGGCATTCGGGGGTCGCATATCATCCCGAGACCTCGCATAAAGGTCTAATTTTATAAAAATCATCGCATATCTGGTATAGACTTGATTAATGCACATGGGTGATGTATGATGGTGCGTGAGCAGGGTGCCGCCGATGTCCGTGTCGACGCGCGTGGTGCGGATGACGGCGCGGGTGGCGTGCGCGGGCGTGGTCGTGTGGATCGCATGCCGCTTAATACCGCGCCGCTGGCTGCCTTGATCGCGACCCGGCTACTACCTCCCACATCTACCGCCACTCGTGAGTCAACTTCTACTATATTGTACTACGATAGTCCCATTAGCTGCCTTTACACAGGAAAGAATTTACATGCACATTCTTACCTTTAATGTAGATAAAGAAAACGAGAAAGACCGCGTGCGCATTATCGCGTTATTCAGTCGTGTGCATGTTTAGTCTAATAATCTAGCAAAGACATAATTGTAGAGTTACTGATAATTTCTAAAATTTAAACCTGTTACTGGAAAGTAAACGACATGATAAACGCGCTACCCCGCGGAAAATAAAGTGAATATCGAAAATAGCAAACAGAAATCACTCGCACGCGCTATCTTCCCGGCACTAAATCCCGCTTGAAAGAAAGAAAGAATATCGTGTAAAGGCGTTTATTCAATTTTAAATTTCGATTCGATTGACATTGCTATCGCATTGAATTTGTACCTCAAATTGAATCAATTCATTTGAATCGTCTGTATGATATTACATATTCAGTGATTTAATGGTTTTGAACTTCTGGCTTATAGATAAAAATATCATTTAAGTACTTGGTGTCTTTATATTTTAATCTTATGTTACACTACTTGGTGATTAACTTTATCACAATAATAGTAATACTATCAAATTTATGACCAAAATTTAGATAGTATCACTATATAAAACTTGCAACGTCGTGTTTCTTTATTACGAGTAACAATATATCTACGGCGTAGTACTTGTTTTGGTCACCAAGGACCACGAGTATTTTACTGTTTGTTTATTAGCACATTGTAGCAATTAGATACAACTCAATGCGTTAATATTTTAAGTAACAACTACAAATATTTAATAAGCAGAAATAATAAAATATCACGACATTTTTGTTCAGTTCCTATATATGAGATCGAAAGGTGTAGTTAACCGACCTCCAGTAAATAGCAGAGTCACCATGATAATATTATTTACCTACCCCTTAGACGCCGGAATTTCAGAGCTAAAGCTAAATAAGAACGATAGAAATTTTCAAAGTATGTTTTATAAAGGACAGACAGTAAGTTGCCAATTAACATTCATAGGTTATCACGAAAATTTAATATGACCCAGCCAAAACATTCCTTGCTAGTTGTGCTAGTGGTTTCACCCGCACGTCATTTATAACCTATTCTGACGTATAAGCAATATTACTGTAAAGTTTCATCAAAATCCGTTCAGTAGTTTTTGCGTGAAAGAGTAACAAACATCTATCCATTTCGCGTTTATAATATGAATAACATTAATTGCGATTATAATTATTTATATATACGTTTGTTTATATTGCATAGTATATAGACAAAAAGATGTAATATAAAACTTACTGTTTACAGGACCATCTGCATAATAATTTCTTGAAGAGTACGGAAGTGTTAAGAAGATTAATATAAAAGCTACAGACTGCGTTTACGTACATTAAGTTGTAAAAATAATGTTTAATGTGATCTATATGTATGTAAATTATGTAATCTACATTGAAATTTTCCCAATTAATTTTGCGCCGCTCCTATATTATTTATTATTATATTATATGTTATTGATTACCATAATTGTAACGTAGCATCACAACATCATTATTTATTCGTAACTTTGAAAGTCTCAAGTCGTTAATTTAAAAATTACATTTTATTAATTGTCATTGTTAACTTTTACATAGGACATATTAATCAAATTTTCGTTGACTGTAATATTTTTTCTATACACTTATACTTTTGTATTACAATTGCTTGGTATTAATAATTCAGAAACATACAAAACGTACTAAATTACATTAATTTGTAAACTTCATATTAGAGGAGTAATGTTTTTGAAATTGTTGATGTAAAGATTGATTGAACTTTTAAATATTATCTTGTAATAAAATAAAAAATTTGCCGAAAATAATTTTCGAATAAATAAACATGAAAATGATGATGATTATATTATATTAGGTGATAGTAGTGAAAGAATTTAACTAGCTAACTCCGTCTAAATTATGTCGTCTAAATGCTACATATTTTTGGAACTTGTTATGATATTTATATATTATTAATATTATGCGTCCGTAAGCTAAGGGAGATGTGGCGTAAATAGCGAGTATTATTTGTTTAAAAATATACTAATGTTGACGAGTGTGGGACTACCACGGCAGTCATCGATTACAAAAGAATTCGTTTTAATGTTATAAGTATTGGTCTACATAAAGTTAGTCGACTATCGTAGTGAATGTAACACTCGGTTAGCCCTCCTTTCGGAACTGTACGAATTCTACTCGGTTATTTCGTTACAACTGCCTTCAAAATAGTCTCTCTATATTTATAAAATATTTAGAGTTATTTAGGAAAATAAAACGCAAACTAAAATTGAATTTTTATACAGCTTATATTGTTGTATATATATCGCTTATATAGTTATTAGTTAAGTCAAATTAAAGAAGGCAAAGGTTATATTATAGGTAATATTAAATATATATTGTATACTACGTATCCTATAGCTGGGGTGTTAATACAAAAGTTATTCGTTCATGTCTATATACATATGATTAAGTACGAGTACATGCTCAGGGTGGCCATGCAGATTGGTCAATTTTCGAAAATGAAAACACTGAATTGAATTATTTTGAAATTTCTATTATAAGCTATTAATTTAATTATACTATAGATTAGTTTTCTTTTAATTATAAAACAAGAAAAATATAGAAATATACTGTTCTATATCTTATAATCCGTGTCACGTTGTTTATCCGCGTTGTTTATCCTAAACTACAGAACCGATTGCAATTTTTTAATTTGCACATTGTGTGCAATTTGATCCAACTTGAATGATAGGATAGCTTATCTCAATTTATAGTCGCAAAATATTATTTTATTCAAGAACCTTTCCCACAGCAACGCGTGGCCGGATCTGCTAGTATATATATAATTATAGTTCCAAATTATATATTATAGATCATAAATATACTAATTTAAGTTTTCATAAATATACTAAACACAATATGTTTTTAAATTATTACAATTTAAAAAAAATGTTAGTCACATTAGCCTTTATTTACAAATAGAAAGGAAGCGACATTTAATAGGTAGTTAGATCATTGAAAGATCATTTTGTTTAATAAAGCGTCTGCACCGAAATATAAAAACAACGGCACACGCGTATATTGTTCGGGGTCTATCTTGTTTATATCATATTATATTATTGATTAATATCATATCGTTAATTATAGCGATATAATATAACTTAACAGGGCAAACCTTTTTTTCTTCGAGAGGGATAAAACTATTGTTTATTTATAAAATTGATGTTATTTACATGTAGGTAGTTATCGCTCAATTGGTATAGTAATATTTAGAAACTAAGTGCACCATCGAAATTATTCAACACCAAGTATTTATTAATACAAAGTATTTGTGAAAGACCTACAAGGGAGTCATAACATTATACTATCAATGTCTAGGACTAACTAACGAATGCAATACCGAGATCTTGAACCATTTTGCAAGAACAATGGCATGTATAAATTGAGTAAGATCTCGTGAAATTGATGCAATTGAATAGATATGAAAAACGAGATGGTATGGGGATTTTGGTATGGGGATCAATTTTTGCTCTATATCTACCATAGTTCAGTCAAAAATGCTATTTTGCAATAGAATAGAAGGTCGGACATAACCATTAGTAGTCTTTGTATTCCAAAATAACCTTGGAACTAGATTTTTAAATGAGTCTCTGACAATAAATGAGGTTCCCAGATATTATCTTATATTCGCTAATTTTAAAAATGCGACATAGTGTTGACAAATAAACATTTGTTAGTGTATGATTACAAAGAATAAATATTATTTAATTAATGTTTTTGTATTATTCGTAATTACGTGTACATTAAATAGTTTTCATTGTCCTTCACCGTTCCGATAATAAAAAACTATTAACCTACACAGTATCTCCAAAGCTAGATCGACGTTATATTTTCTGCGTAGGACATAGTGAGACTATTTCACTTTTTTGCTTACCATGCTACGTAGTACTATTTAACAGTTTTGTTATAATTGACCCTATGGATATTTTTTATGATATCATTCTTAGTTGAGGACATAGGTAGCTCAGATAAAAGAATATTGCATAGTTAAATGTTGATGATATTTGAAATTTAAGTTAGGTTTAACTGTGAGTTTTAATCTTTAATTTCTCTAGATATCTACTTAATGAAGTACACATTTAGATCATGATTTACAGGGTAGGTATTTTTTTTTCAGTTTATATACATATTATTCATCACATTATCATCAATGTTAAATTTATACATATAGTTTATCTTTAACGGGTTACTAATTTGTTTTAACAGAATTTTGTGTTTAAACCAATATTCGTATTGTATAGTGAGTTTAATATTATAAATTATGCTCCTGAATTAAGTGAAAGTATTTCATATGCAAAGTTCGTATTCGTAGATAGGTATCTACTGTAAATATTTTTAAATTTTGTTAAAGATCTCATTTGAATTTAACTTGTTTGTGAAGGCTAATGTAATAATTTTTATGTCACATTGTAAACCAAACTGTTATAAAAATTCTTTTTATTATGAGAGAGTAACTGTAGTTAAAATAATAATAAAATATATATTTTTGCTTCATATCCTTTGTTATTTTATATCCAATAAATATACCTCAGATACTATGTACATAAACATATATTGGGATAATAGATCGTATCACCAATTAAAGTTATATTAAACTAGATTTTGCTCGCGGCTTCGCTCGTGTAGTAGTATTTTTATTAATTAGGTGTAGCTTTTGCGGCTTTACTTTTCTTTAGCGTGTGTAAAAAATTAGGGCCTATAAAATCTAAGAAGATTTATACAAACTTTCATCCCCTATTTTATCCCCTTAAGGGTGGAATTTATCAAAATTCTTAGGGGATGCCTACGTCATAGTAGCTTTATGCATGCAAAGTCTCAGCCTGATCGGTTTAAAATTGACAAAGTTTCATACAAACTTTCACCCCCTATTTTATCCCCTTGGGGGTAAAATTAACCAAAATCATTTCTTAGCGGATGGCTACGTCGTAACATCTGCCTGCATGACAAATCCAGTGGTATGGGCTGTGCGTTGATAGGTCACTATGTCAGTCAGTCACCTTTGAGTTATATATATTTAGATATCCTGGCTATAAAATCATAATCATAGATGAATAAGTTAAGTGTCATTACGACAGTAAAAAATAACGAGTTGAACATGGAATGAAGCAGACACCTATTAAATCTACAAATAAATGCAGTAAAATGTTTTATATAACATGATAAATTTAGTTGTGCTTCTAAATTATTCGACGATATGAAATATCACGCATGTATAAGACAGTTGCAAAAAAATCTGAAAACTGTCGCTCTAACTAATCGAGCTCAAATATTTCGGAGTAAGTGAATTATGTTTAGATTTGTATCTAAAATCCATTTAATTTGTTATTTTAATACACCGTAATATCACGCTGCTGAGGTACCTACGTACCTATCTACCAGTATTGATAAGATTTTACTTCTATGCATCTGTTTTATAGTGGTGCTCAGTTCTAAGCTCATTTATACGGCTTTACAGCTGTTCGTTCAAGAAATTATGGTGGCTATTCTAATATAAAGTTACCTACTTCTGCGACACTGGTACAAAACGACAAGCAAGGCACTGTCGTTCTCCTCGGTACCGTACACTTTAGCAAACAGTCAGTGGAGGATGTTTCCCAGGTAAGAATTAGAGTTTAAATTAACCTACACATACGTACATAATCATGATTTATTTGCATTCCTTCATATCTACCTTTGGCTTTATTTTAATGTCATGTTTTATCACTGTTATTTATTATGACAGTGTTTTCCATACAGATAGTTAAGGTGTTGAAGCCAAATGCTATACTAGTTGAATTATGTCGACAAAGAGTATCGCTGCTAGAACTAGACGACAAAAAGTTTTTAGAAGACGCAAAAAAATTCGATTCACGGAAAATGAAGTAAGTGTATGGACCGTCCTTGCTAACAACCTCGGCAGAATTGTTTCATTATACCTGCATACATCATATTGGTACACTTTAATAGACCAGTACCGACCCCCTGTCCAATTCAAACGGGAACCGAAATTACGACGGCCTGAGCCGAGGTTCGAACCCCTAGCGGTGCCCTCAGACTAAAATCGTGTCCGTCAGGCAGGAGTTGCTCTTCAGCCGCTCCATAAGTCCTTCCGCGAGTTTGGAGTGCCATCTGCACTCGCCCTCCTATCGTCCGGTGAAGCTGTAAAGTCCAGCTGCGGCCAACAGCATTAGAGAAGTCCGAAAAAAAAACCAGTGCCGATAATTTTTTAATCCAAAAAATTATAATAAATAATAGTAGGTTGAAACCCATTGGAAAAGGAAGAGATTGTAACAAAATTGAAAGGGAAAATAATATATGGGCGATCTGAGGCCAAGAAGTGGATAAAAGAGTGGGAAAAAGAGTTTATCTAGATTTCCGGTAAAACTACAAATTCTATGAAAAAGAGTTATATGGCAAAGTTAAATATTGTGTGACGACAATATATGTAGATGGAATGAGATGTAGTTCCTCTCTTAAAAGTTATTATAACATTTGATAACAATTATCCAGAAACAAAAAACTATGTTGACAAAGATCTAGGACATAAGTTGTAGGTATGTTATTGCCATATATACCTACTATATAATATAAATATAAGGTTCTACACTTACATTTAAAAAAAATCTATGCAGGAGAGGCTCCGACGCAATGCAATTTTTTACATATTATGATAATTTGCACCTAACCTGCAGCGCCATCTACCGAGGTCAATCGTTTAATATATGTAGTTACACATACTTATTATTTCATCCAAATCGGTCTAGCTGCTTAGGAGTTAGGTGACAAACACACCCTACTGAAGAATTATATATACATACCTAGTAATTACGTATGATTTATTTCGTACTGTAGTTATTAAAAAAATTTAATTTCTGTGCCTACATGAAGGGTACCTATAGTATCTTACAAAGAAATACCGTCAATATCAATAATTAATTTAATAGCCGTGTCCTGTTCGCTGATTCGTTTAAATAATAAAATTCTTAAATATGTTATAAATCAAACTATTCGTGTTTACTTTTATAGACAAGCTGTAAAAGGTCAAAATTTTGTGTCTGGTATGTTGCACGCCATGCTCTTAAAAACATATGCAGACATCGCTAAAGAGTTGGGGGTAGCACCCGGAGGTGAATTTCGACGAGCATATCATGAGGTAATGTCTAATTGTTATATATTTACTTATTTTTAATATCTACCTAGAACTGCTAGAACTAACTACACATACCTTTTGCTGTCTATTAAGAAACATATCATGAGTTCATTGTCTACTGTCAGATACTGCTTCTATTCAACAGAATGGTGACGGTATCACCTATCACTACTGATAAGGGAGTGTTCATGAATTAAAAAAAAAACAGTATTAAAGCGTATTTAAGAATAAAGTACCTAGTTATTTCCAGTCAAATTTAGAATAATTCTATATAAATATTTCAGATGAAGAAAATTCCTGGTTGCAAATTGTTCCTTGGTGATCGGCCGATTCAAATTACAATTGCAAGAGCATTTCAGTCTCTGAGCGTCTACGAATTGGGCCAAGTGCTATTTCATCTGACAACTTCGAATCCAAAACCATTGGAGTAAATATATTTGAAAATACTATCTTCTATATAATATAGAAGATAGTACTTTTAATTTTTCAAACATTTTAGTGGTGAAGTAGGACGTCTACTTCAAAATTTTAGGTTTTTCTGTTCTATTCGGGTTTCGATCAAGTAACTGTTCCTACTTGGGTTATATTTCGGTTTCAATACTCGTTTTAACAAGGTAGACCTAGTACAAAATCGTCTGTAATCGTCTCTATGTCAGCTATTTAATCAAGCAAGCAGCTTCCTTTGTATATTGTGTTTTAGTTGAAGAATGAAATATGGCAGTGAAATTACAGAGTAGGTACTGAACCATAATCTGATAACCACTTATTTCTCTGGAATGGCGACCCATGAGGGTTATTTTAGATGTCATATGACATGATCTTTAATAGCGTTCCTCATGTAGGTATATAGGCGATAGTTGCGACTTATTACCTGTGCTTCGTCAGATTGTTTGCCATTTATAGTTTTATAAAAATATATTATACGAGGTATAGGAGATTCGACTTAAAACTTTGGTTTCAGTAAATTTCAATTGGAAAGATACAAAGACAAAGATTTTGTGCATGCACAATTCGAGGAAATTACCAGAGATGTGCCAGCGTTTAAAAAAATATTCCACGTTTTTGTTGACGAACGTGATAAGTGTCTTGCTTATTCGTTGCAAGAATGTGTTCGAACTGGTTCGTATAGATAATTTTTATTTCAAAATAAATAAGGTTGTTGTTCATGACTGTTATCCTAGATGGGATAGTAAGAGACATTGTTAACTGACGTCAGTTGTTGTTGTGGTGTACACTTGATATTGGTCATGTCTCTTAATTACGTTCATATATTTAAATCTAACGTGACAGGTGACTGTGGTATAGATACTTTTTCTAGACCAACGTCATATTTATTATTCATCTAGCTGTTGATTGACATTGTAGAAAAACACGAAACTATGTCACTGTATTCGTAACATATTAAATATATTCCTCAATTACTGTATTTTAATACAACAGGGACGAATCTCACACCTTGCCGAACTGTCTTTGTCATTGGCGTTTACACCACGCGTCTCTAGTCGGTCAGAAATTTAAAAAAAGAATTGGTATCTATTCATCAATAATTTTTAATAACTCTCAATTTAAATCACAATACGATAACATTAATGGTAATGTCATCTGTAGTATTATCTACTACTAGATTCTTCTTATCCAATGGTATTGTACCTAACCCTGTTGAAACCCTTCATGGAGGCCGACTCTGCCGAGGAACTCACACACATTCTCGACCCCACCTCATTCACTTGCTACACCGATGGTAGTAAGCATCACGGGAAGGTCGGTGCAGCGGTCGTCATCCGGAACCCGAGCGGCTCTACAGTTCTGAGCAAGAAGCTCAAACTGCATGATGTCTGCTCGGTGTTCCAAGCGGAGATGGCCGCCATCGACCAAGCATGCCAACTCATCATCACCAGAAAACTGTCACCCGCAATCATCCTCACGGACAGCAAGTCATCGCTGATGGAACTGTCCAATCATAACAGCACCAATCATCTTTGTAATAACATCTTCAAATCACTCCATCTAGCCAAACATCACAACATCAACATTTCATTCATTTGGATCCGATCACACATCGGGATATCTGGCAATCAGGAGGCCGACCTCGCGGCCAAATCAGCAGCCAACTCCCATTCATCCCCTTCATTCTCCAAATTTCCCCTCAGCTACATAAAACACCACTTCATGCAATTAAGTAAAGCCGAATTAGAGGACTTATACGACACGACAGACAATTGCCAGTATACCAAGCAGTGGTGCAGCAATTACGCTGAGCTGCTGCTTGTGATACAGGCCTTCCCTCCAAACTTTCATTTCACCCAGCTTCTCACCGGTCATTCATACTCCAAGTCATACCTCAAACGGTTCGGGATCACCTCGGACGACAAATGCCCTTGCAACGATGATGCTCCGCAAACTATGGAGCATCTCGTCAAGGAGTGTCCGAGGTTTGGTCCCACGAGGCTCGACCATGAGACGGCCTGTAGCATGCTTCGGGTCTCAGAACCATTCCATCTCCCATCCATCATCAAACATCAATCAACCATCGACACTTTCACATCACACATATCATACATCATTCACAACCTCAAACATTTCAATCAAACATAATCATCATCACCAACATTCCCATACCTCTATCATCAAAATTCTCATACCATCATCATATCCATACCATCGTCATCCAAACCACCAACGTCTTTATTTTGTTTCCTTTTTTTTTTCTTCGTTTTGTTATTTTGTTTAATCTTTCATTTGTTTCGTTTTACATCTATTGTCGTTTTGTTTTGTTACTTTACTTGTTTCATATTGTTTTGTCTTCGTTAATTTTTATTTTGTTGTTACTTCTTTAAATTTGTTTTATTATACTAATAATGTTATATATCTATAAAAATGTATATATTACAACAAGCGAATTCAATTTTACACCTAATAAAAACATAAGTTGAAAAATCCGTTCCAACTCTGCTGAAGCGAGCGTAAACCAAAAGCGCAAACGCTAAGGCATAAGAGTACATTAAACAGACTCTCAATTAAAAAAAAAACCCTGTTGAAAAAAAATAACTGAACGAACGAAATGCCATCTATATATTTTTCACGAATAAACTGTACCGGCTCACTCCGTTTAGCAATTTGTGTTGGCATCTTGAGTGAAAGCAATAATTTACACTCCTTTTGTTTTAAATAATAGGTACTAATAGCCTTAATTTATTTCAGTAATGGACAATCCGCGTGTATTGGCCGTAGTGGGAATGGGTCATGTGGATGGTATAATAAAATACTATGGCAAAATGAAACAAGAAGATATTGTACCTTTATTATTGTAGGTTCATGTCACTAAACTTTAGTAGGAATATTTATATATAGATTTTTAATAGATAATAGGTTTAGATATAGGTACCAATTAATATTTAGGCTTAATAATTTGCATTAGGTTTCTTTAATTTAATCTCGTCTATATCTACCATACCATTGAGGTATTATTTTCTAATAAAGTAGTCATGATAAATACAAAGTAGAATTTATTTAATTAGAGATATTTGAAGCTGGTAGTCGTAAATATACTAATGATCGTTTTCTATCAATGTAAGTACCTCCTTAATAATTTTATTTCTTATTTTCAGCGCCTAGGTTTTTATAAGTATATATGATCGACACATCTTGATTACATCGCTCCTTATAAAAATTATCTAGAAAACTTGAAGGTAAGAACTTATAATAACTTGTATTATTTGTATGGACCACTTTAGACTTTCCGAAGTCAGAACAGCGTACTACACTGGTCTGTAATTTGCAATAAATAGCGCGTGTACATATATTTATGTCTGTTTACGTGCTTTACCGTGGAAACAAGCTCCCAGACATCGCAACAAGTTAGGTAACAACCAGTAGCAAGTCTCCATTTCTTCCCTATCTCGCTCCAAACCTCATCAGCCTTATAAAAAAATGTAATTTTTTTTTTATTTAAAACGATATTCGAATATGCATTCAATTTTCAAATGTATGCATGTTGGACCCCTCCTCTATTCTATTGTCAAGATTTATTTCTGATGATAAATAATGTGCTAACTTACTTTACTTATTTAATATTAAAGTTTCTAAGCAAAAGAGTTTCCTCATTATTTTTTTTTTCTAGGATAACATATATCTAATGAAATGAAATTGTAATAAGTAGGTATTAGATGTCAATAATGTAATAGGTATCTATATTGGATACTTTCATCATCATCATCATTGTTATTATGACGACAGCAAAAGTGCATTGCAGCATGTGACTCGATGCACCTCTGGTTACAGAGGAGTAACGAAGGCTTATGCTGTGCTTAAACAAATTAATTGAGATTAAAAACAGTCGGGTGGATCTCAGATTACAATGGGTTTCTTCCCATATTGGCATAATGGGAAACGAGCGGGCAGATCAACTAGTCAGACTAGCAATTACGAAAGGCAATTTTATTACGGTAGCATGTGACTTTACAGAGGCGTTTTATATTTAGGTACATTTAAAATAAAATGTCATGATATGTGGCGAGAATATTTTAATAAATGATCAAAGGAAAAGGGCATATGGTACAGAACTATGCAAAGTGAACCCCCTCGTATCCCATGGTTCCGAAACATTAATCTTAGTTGTAAGTATGTAGTCATAGCACTTAGATTTCGTTCAGGACACATTCCATCAAACAAATTTAGATTTCTGATGAAAAGAGTAGACTCCCCCAATTGTCGAACTTGTGGTGGTATTGATGATGGTTAACATTTATTGATGGAATGCGTCAAGAAGAACAATGAAAGGCAAATTTTACTGAAAAAAAATAAATTTAAACAAAATTAATTTAGCAATCTTTCAGAGTATTTTATCAGAACCTGTATCAAAACAATCGGTACTAATTTATAAATTTGTAGATAAAAATAGGTAAGATTTGTCTTTATAGTAATTTAAAGTTTAGATTTAATCTAATTGATTAAGAAGTCAACATGGAGCTAATATGCTCACTATTGTGTTAAGCTCCTAAATAAATAAAGGGGAAAAAAATAGATATGCTTGTCACGAAAATGAAATAAACCGTATACCTACTATTTTACAATTTTGTAAAAATTCTCTTTTTCAGTATTTCCCCACTGCCATATTATACGGTGCTGCTCAGGAACGGTTTAAAGCTTGCATTTTATTTTTCAATATTTTCTTTGGTTTTCATAAATTATTAATTTATATACAATAAACATTGCGTATCTAAAAGTTTTATTTGAGTTTTTTTTAGATTAAAATATTATCTGTGAGTTTTGTACTGTAAGTAATTGAATCTGTGTGTAATTTCAACGTTTAATTTAAAATAAATGGTAACTACTCTCGTTCTACAACCTACCGCACCGCAATCCGCTATTATTTTTTTTCAGCTTAGCGTTCATTCAAATACTTTTTTATTTGCTCTAGTGCTAAGTCTCGTAGTGTGATATTAAAAATGGTACTTAGTTCATGAAATATATCCGTCATAAAATCAAAAAATTGTATTTGCAACGTTTTCAATTTCATTTGTTTATTGATCAATCAGTATATCGAAATTTCCTACCAAAATCCGATACATTGAATTGATACAGAGCCAGATCTATCATTCATCGACACGTATTCGATAATTGCGGTAGCCGGAGACAAAAGAAGTGAAGAAAAAAAAAAAAACTTTTATGTCAATTTCAAGTCCAAGTCAAACAAATGTCACAAATACGCTGAAATTGTTAGTGAATCGAGTTGACGATCTTTATTAATTTTTAAATAATACTTCAATTATAAATATTTATATTGTAATGATTTATTAATCTTTAAAATCACTAAAACATTTTAGGTGCGTCTTTGTAAATCGTTTTCAATGATTATAATACAAACCATCATTTGAGTTTGAGCCATGTTATTGTGGTTTTTATTTAGTTTTTCATTATTTAATAAAAGTGTTTATAATGCAGAAGATATTAGTTGTGGCTGTGGTGATATCAACAGAAATATCTATAAAAACATATTTGTTTCAAAACGTACTATAGATTCGACAGAGCAATGTACTTTAAAAAGTGAAATGGTAACTAATGAATTTCAGAGCACCCCTGAGAATGATATGGTGCTAGTGTCTGGTGGCGAATATCAATTTGGCACAGACGATATTATCATAGAAACAGATAAAGAAGGTCCTAGTAGAATTGTTAAAATAAACAGTTTTTATTTAGACAAGTATGAAGTATCAAACATAGATTTTTATCATTTTGCCAAAAGTACTAATTATAAGACTGAAGCTGAAACTTTTGGAGATAGTTTTGTCTTTGCATTATTTCTAAATAGAACATTTAGAGAAGAATTAAAGGATTTCCGTGTTGGACAGGCACCATGGTGGTACAAAATTGATGGTGCCGACTGGAATCACCCTCATGGTCCAGACTCAAATATAAAAGGTAAATTAATTACTTGTTACATAAATTTAGAATGTACCCTAATTACGAAGGAGGACTATAATCTTTGGAGCTACATATGTATATGAATAAAATCCTTCAGTTTCAAAGATATACTTCCATAAACACATAGCATATAGATTTATGTACTTTGTAGTTTTACTGGTAAATAGTAATACAATAATTTTCCTACTAAATTCAATCTAATACCACTTTTATAGTCACTAGTTGTTTCTTTTTTGTTTTTTGATGTGATGTTAATAATATATATTACTAAATAATTTTAGAAATTAATTTTGAATTAATAGCTTCCTAATAACCAGTAGTTAGAGTTATTTCAGAATTTTCAAAAATTATTTCAGCATTACCAATAACATATATAAAAACTAACAAGCAGACTAAACTTGCAGACTTGATTTACTAATCAATGGTAATAAAAAATAAATACACTATTAGAAATTTAAAGGAATTCATACAATAGTTTTTTTCATTTTAGATATCATGAACCACCCTGTTATACATGTATCATGGAGAGATGCTGTAGCATATTGTCTGTGGAGAAATGCTAGATTACCAACAGAGGCAGAATGGGAGGCAGCATGCCGTGGTGGTCATCGGAATACAAAGTATCCATGGGGTGACAAACTGTTTCCTGATAAAAAGTATATGTAAATATCTTGAATCAAATTTAATATTATTAACTTAAGAAAACACTATTTCCTGAATGTAAGGGAAAAATGTATTTCTTTAATTAAGCCTCACATTTCTGCATATAGAGCTGAGATTACTGTAATTGTAAAGTTATATATTCTTCAAGCTCATTCAGTAATTGCACTGTTCTGTGAAGTGATTATATGATCCATCTAGCAGGAATGTGACTAATATAAAACATATTTTACAGGGCCAATATCTGGCAAGGTAATTTTCCAAATCATAATTCAGCCAAAGATGGATACATTGGCACTAGTCCAGTAAAATCTTTTTTAGCAAATGATTTTGGATTCTATAATATGGCTGGAAATGTATGGGAGTGGACTCAAGACAGTTGGTCCAAAGATCAAGTAAGTATTTTTAAATTTATAATATCCAGTGTCTGATTAAATGAGAGTTTCAATCCATAGTTCCATTTGAAAGCCCTATTTCTTGGTGATGTACATTATATACATTATAACATAACAGCTATAATCAACTTATCGAAATCATCATATAATATCGACATATACATGCCCAAATCTGTAATGAGGGGTAGAATAGAATGACCTAAAAAAATACTATGTGAAAGTGCTCATTTGAATAAATATTATTTCTATTCCTTATATTTATAAAGATTATTTTAATATAAAAAGATCATCCTTTATTTGTAAATAGATGCTTATGTGCTTTTTCTTTTGTTTTAGCCTGAAGAAAAGGTAAAAAAAGGTGGCTCGTATTTGTGTCATCGTTCTTATTGCTACCGTTATAGATGTTCTGCTCGCTCACACAATACTGAGGATAGTTCGGCTGGCAATTTAGGGTTTCGTTGCGCCAAGTCTCTTTGAACTTAGTGTTTATTTTAAGCATTTTATAATGTTGTCTAAAGTACTTAAAATATGCTAGTTATGTCATGTTTTCAAATCCTGGAATCAGCTGAGGTATGGCTGACAGTGCTTAAAAATTTTTATTTATTTAAAGTATATTAAACACGTAAGTGAAATTTAATAAATTTAATTCTACTATTAGTCACTCCAATTCTACTACACTAACTTGCTGTTTAAATAACAGTAACGTTAAAATTTTTCATATAAACTAGTTTCAATGTATAAGGTATAGCTGAGAAACATGTTAGAATTATAGAGGGAAATGTTGCTCAGCAGAGGGAGCCAATACTATTATTATATTAGGTGTTATTATATGACACTATAATCTAACAGCACCCCACACAACACGTCACTTTAAATATTTGTCTATAAGGGTAAATGTGCTATTCCACATTTACCAATGATGCGATTGGTACCCGAATAAACACTCCACTAGGCTTGTTTTTTAAGTATTAATTTAATTTGGTCTAAAATACCTGAGGTAAGTATATTAAATGTAGAACCTACTACGTCTGTGCAGGAGCGGAGTAAGAATGCGATATGTTACCACTCTTTGTCTCTCCCTAAGATATCCTAAGAACTGTTTAGGGTATAAAAGCGTAAGTAAATGAGTGTCACAGAAGGAAAACTGGACTTAAAGGTCCGAGGCAGATATGTGTACCAGTAGATCGTTAACGCGTTGTTACGATTGTCTTAGTACCTAACAGCATAACCATTTTAGAATCTGCATGTACTACCACCAATGTTTATATAATTACTATAATATATTGATTGTGATATTTATATATGTGATTAAAGTTATAGGTACTTAATGATTTATTATTTTTTGTTAATATATTTTCAACATTTCAAAACCGTTTATTATTTTCTCTTTCTTTGTTGCCTGGCCTATTTACTATAATCCTTACCCATCAACCTACTAGTATTGTAATTTCGTGTAATATGTAGGTTTAGCTTTTGTTTATGCTTTATGTATATAGGCGCGTCTGCATAGCGCACCCAGTGAGTTTAAGAAAAGGTTCGCGGTATATTTGTTTGGACGATACGCTCATAACTCAAGTGTTATTTCTAGTGTCTACACTTTACTGAGTGGGAATGTCACGTTACTCACTTGTTATATTTTAACCCAGTTTAAGAAGTTAATAATTGATGCCCATATTTTCAATAGTTTGCTTGATTGATTTCATTTTGACATAGAGCCTACGTGTATATTTCTTACTTAAAAACGCTTAATTTTAATAGTCCTTAAAGCTTTGTTGCTCGATACAACCTTCTGTAACAGGCAATTATGCATTAGTTCATACTTTTGCTTTTACAAATGTAAAAAGTGTTTTACAGTAGTGGCCTAAATTATGAAATGCAGACTTGTGGGAATAGGTAAAAAAAGATCAAACTGTTTATACTTATCATTTATTTCCATATTTTGTATAAAAATTACAGTAATTACATAAACTGATTTCAATACTCATGAAATAAAATTCAATATGGGCAGCTTCAGTTTACGTTTGGTGTAAATTATTGAAGCACATTTTTCGGTAAGTACGGAAACAAACGGAAGACTAAATAAAGGAAGAACTTCGATGGCTAATGCTATTATAAACCCGTTAATTTATCTTATATATAGATAATTTTGGTATTAAATAAAATATAAATTAAACAAAATAAATAATAATCAACACAACCACATCAGTGTCATAATATCTAAAACACATTGAACAATCTATGTACAGTAAAACATAGTTATTGTACTTAAAAAAACACGTGAACAATGTGATATTCATTATATGTTAATTCAACTATACAACATAATTACTGTTGTAAAGAAACATGTGCTACAAAAATAACACATTATGATCCATACATTTCTACTAGTTTGTTTCATTGTATAAATTTTGCTATTATATAAATAATATAATCATAGCATTTTGTTCTGAAAAAATAATTATAATGAAAATAACATCATATTACATAAATCACTCAAAACTGCGGCAAGGTACTTGTGTTCATTTAAAATAACTTGGAACTTTAAAAAGCACCAATATTAAAATATACAGGAGCTATTATTATGACTGTATTCTGTCAATTTCTTCAGATCTTAAAAGCGACTTCACTAGAACCTAAAAAAAGTACAAAACGCTATGCGATCAATCACAAACCTAACTATATATTTAAAACAAAATTTACACCGTTTATACCGCCTACTTATATGTACACTAGATAAATCACATTTAACACTAATAATTCTAGGGTTATTTACTGAAAAGACGCGGCGGAGACACGAGTCCGGCGTTGGTGGGCTCGCGCGCGAGTTATATACCGTCACCCCGTATATGTCCACAAAACAAACAGGTAATGTCCTGTGAAAGTTGAGGCTACAAATCACAGAGTAGTACGGAATGCTAAGGTGGGCGCCTCGTCCTGGTCCGACGTCAGTTGCCGGCCGGCAGCACGGGCCGCGCCCGCGCGATCGGGCCCCCGCCGTTCGTATGCCCGTTGCTTGATGAGAACCCATTCTTCACCAACCCATTCTTGTACATCACTTCTTTTTCAATATTTGTCGTGGACGGTGGCGGTGACTTTGCACGCACCTGCAATATAGCATATAACAAATTTGGGTTGTAGATTAATGTGGTTGCTAGTAATGTACCACGTCAGGTTAAAAATATTGTGATAAATTCCTGGTGAATTTGCCATGATAGACTAACTGACCTGACCTCATGCTCATCTTACTGTCCTCCACTGGTGTCCTGTTTAGTATATATCGTTAGCAGAGGCACTTATTGTACATCATACCATTAAATATATATATATATATATATATATATTTAGGACTGTTGTTAGTATTAGCGCTATTGTTAGTAGACTCGGTTCTCATAAATAAAAGATCGTACAAATACTGTTGAACTTGAGAAGCCAGTAGAACAAACTTATATCCAAAGTCGACATTGTATTTTTTAACATACGTAATAACTCAACTATACTATATATAACTCAACAAGATTACCGACAAACAAAAAATGTCGCCAGTAAACCAATTTTACTTGTACTTTTTGTCCAAATTTATAGATTTTTTAAACCAATGTTTCTTTCGAACGAATAAAGCTACATATTTCAATTATTGTTCTGGGGATCTGACTATCGCTGAATAAAAGTAGCTTTGTAAAGATTCATTCCTTTTCACATTATCCACAGTCCTATGAAGCAATTAAAAAAAAATGAAATGAATTAATGGACTATGATGATAGGCCATGAAGATATAACTGACGATACTCATAATTATTATAGTTTAGTAATCCAAGATTTTTTACATATTTAAATGCTTACCCTTGGCTTGTTATATGATTGGTTGTAGAAGTCTTTGAATAAGAAAAAGAACATAACACCATGCATTCCGATCCACCAAACGAATCCACGTGGGTAGTCACATTCAATAAATAGTAGCTGGAACGCATGGACGATAACACAGATGAATTGAACCTGCAGATAAATTTATTATATAGTATTATAAAGCGTGTCTGTCTGTTTGTGCACGAAACACCTAATCTTATATATGGCGTTATTAAAAGACGAGCATAAAAACCAAGAACTTATAAATTCAATCGAAACTATTATAAAATCAACATATTATAAAACAAAGTCGCTGTCGCCGGCTGTCCGCCCCTATGTATGCCTAAATCTTTAAAACTACGCAACGGATTTTTAAACGGTTTTTTTAAATAGATAGAGTGATTGTAAAGGAAGATTTATATACATAAAATACAGTAATATTATAAACGCTAAAATTTGTGAGTATGGATGTTTGTTACTCTTTCACGCAAAAACTACTGAACGTATTTTATTAAACTTTACAGTAATATAGCTTATGCATCAGAATAAAACAAGCCGCGGCCCGGGGCCCGCGGCCAAAACCACGGGCACATTTAGTAAATCAATAATTACCATTTGGAAAGTGGTGAGATATTTCTTCCACCACAAGTATTTCCTCATTTGTGGTCCCATAGCTGCCAACATATAATACGAGTACATAACGATGTGTACGAAAGTATTGAGCAGTCCGAAGAATGTTGAGTGACCACCAGGACTGAACTTGACTCCAAACCACACAGACATCGGCATCACGCCATGGTGGATTACATGGAGAGTAGACACATGGTCAAACTTCTTTCGCAGGACAAAGAAGATCTAGAAAAATAAATGTATATTTTAAATGTTATGAATTTAGGTAATACTGTATAGAGTAAAATATGTATTGGCTATATGGAAATATTTTTTTTTATCAATTTATATGTTTATAAAAACTTGTAAGACTGAATATAAAATTTTAAAAGATTTCGTAGGTCTCTTATTATCGTCATAATAAATGTACGTATAAGAATGCGTACACATTTTTTTGTATATTTGTTTGTCTTGTTATACAGTTTCATATTTGACTCGGTTTATTGATATAATCACGAAAGCTTATATCAATAATTCTAAATAATATAAACAAAAATATATTAAAAATATATCACTTACAGTATCAAAGAATTCAGTGAACTTTGAAAAGTAGTACCACCAACACGCATGAACCATCTGAAATGTCAAAATTTAAATTACGACCTCGTTTTACATTACGAATTATGTTAGAATAATACGTCCTGACTTAGCAATTCTCTACTTACTACTCTCTACGGAGTTTTGAAATGATTGAAACGAAAGATTTTTCAATTAGATACAAATGTATTAAATATACTATACAACATACACAAACTAACTACATAAGTTCGACTCTAAATGCATCAAAATATATATGAAATTATTAAAATCAAAAAAGTAAATTAGCAACAAACGAGCAGTATGATCTATGCGATAGTTTACTATCTCGAATAAGTGACGTAACCCGTCACCATATGACGCTATAATTATGTATACGAAAAAATTGTGACTGACTAATTGCAAACTGGTGTTTACGATAACGTTAGATAAGTGGTAAAAGTATTAATCGGTGAGATACTAGGCTTTTTTTAATAAGGGGTTTGAGTTATTGATGTGTATTAGGCCTGTGAAACTATAACCTACGGAGATCTATTGTATGTGTTGTATCTATATCCCTATATATTACTTACTTTTTTTTATTAATAATTTTTCCTTATCTAACATTAATTAAAACACCATTACTAAATATCACCTATTGTGGTTTTAAGAATATCAAAAATAAATATGACGTGCCATATCTTTCATAATGAAATTTTAACATTTTTAAATTAAATATTATATGATACTATAATATTGTCAATCTTTATAAAATTAAATTTAATATATATTTAAAAATAACAAATTTTGATATTTAAAATAAAAATGTAATCGGTTACAATGTGGATGTTAATGTATGATATTTGGGTCTTTACCTTGTATTAATATAATGTAATGGTTTAATGATGATGCAGTGTTAAAAGGAATATCATCGATCACTGAAATCTCGTTCTATCTTACATGTATATTCACTGAAGTCTGTTATATGGCCTGTTTATAACACGAATTTATATAGGACGTTCTTTATATACATAAAATAGATAAAATGAATATTTTATATCGATGACACCTTTCCAAACTATGGTTAAACATACGTAGGATTTTGTAATATTCATGCTTATATAAAATCATTTACCACATAAGCATTAGTAATGAAAATAATGCAATGAGTTTAATTTCAGTACATATAATATAAAATTAAGATGATACCATTAGCAAAAAATAAAGTAAATCATTCGTCAAGTTACAGCTATCTATGCTTAATGTGCAATATAATACGTACGTTACTTAACATTGTTTTTATTGTAACGTGACATGTACAATGAAATGTGACTACCAATGATTACGTGAAAACTTTGTCGGTAGATATTATTGCGAAATTCATTCATAAACAAACTAATCGCAAATCAGTGCATTAAGTAATTAAGTAGGCACTAAGCATTTAACCGGCTGTAAGGATAAGTATCTTAATTCGTCTTCAGTAGGTATAATTATATAAATATTTGCGAAAACTTTGCATATGTATATTTTCGGCAAATTTGAAGTAAATTATTAATCGGATTTTTTTATAACTATGTTAAGACGTAGCTATGAATAGAGCGCATTGTTGTACGCTTTTAAAATATAATAAATATGAATATTAAAATAAAGCAAAATGTGTTACTAGTGGCTTGTTTTATTTTAGCACTACAACGTACAAGATGGAAACTATAAATGTAAAAATGAAACTCCTAGATCATTAATATATTCAAGTAGTAATTCACCCTCATAGTTTGTGGATTTTTGGAGTGGTCGACAGGCTGACATCGATAGCTATACCTGCCTGTGAACCAGCCACCTGACCCGATCTGAAACAATGCACCGTCACCAGAACCTAGTTAATTATATGTATATTTACATACACTAGCTTGTTACATCGTTGGTGCTATCAACTTGTTAAGCTAACAACCTATTTAAGAAATACAACATCTACAATTTATAAAAAAACATTGTCAACAGATTTCCACTACATCAAAGTCCCATAATAAAATACATATTTCTTATAGGTAATATTTACAAGTCTATATACATGACCTGAAAATGAAAATACATAGGATGTCTATTTACAATGAATCTTTGTTAGTTCATTTTGCTTATTAGCATATTTCTAGGAGAGTAAGAGAACCCTCTTATAACTTACTCTAGTAGCTATGGGATTGTCTGTGTAGTCCACAGGCTGACATCTTAAGTTGTAATGTTTCAGCCAACCTCCCATCAAGCTCTGGGCAAGGCATATTAAAATATAAGTACTTAGGTGTACACACCAATGAAATTTATATGTTGTTGAAATATTGTGTGAGTTAATTAAATTTAAAGATTTTAAATATTTAGAGACTTTTTTAGTTTCTCTTAGAATTTTATTTGCATAAATTCCTTTTTAATAACGTAATTTTAATGCACAACATGTCTATATTTTATGATAAAATTAAAGTGTACATTATATACAAAATGTTATTACATATTTTATGTTTCATACATTTATAAATAAAACAATATTTATATTTATAAGATGAAAGATAGTTACAGATACAATTATGTTCTCTTATTAACAGTACATTATTCTTCTATTATTCTTATATTACTGTTTATGTATTGTTCTAATATGAATGTATATATAATATTTTTTTATAAAATTACCATATAACAAATTTGAAACTCTACTACATACTGAAATTTTCCTTTAAGTCATTATGTGTCAACAATCTTTAACTAAATATTAATTATGGTGGAGTTTCATCTAACCTGTGAGGTTTGAATGTGATATGCATTTAGTGTAATATTTTCTCATCATATATTTTCTAGTGGTAACTGGAATGTTAAACTAGCTGCCAGCTTACCTGATGATAAGTAGCAATGGTGAACTATATAACACAGTTCAATGCTTAACACTCACAATTAATGTTGCATGGTGAATGAAATGGGTTAGAGTAGACTATTAAAGTTTGCCATGGTAAAATATAATCTCTTATAATAATATAATTTCTTAGTGACAAATATAATTCATGGAATTATGACAATATATTTTTTTATATATGACATTATTCACTAAAGGAAAAACCTAAAAGCTAAATCATACTTGGTATTGCGGAATATCTACAATTGACTTGAGATTATTAAAATAGTTAGCTATAAGCACAGAAAAAATATTATTAGTTTAAACACTTATAATTTATTTAAGTTAAAATGTCCGATTATCCTTAAAGTAATAAATATTTAAACCACTAGAAGTACTAATATTAATAATAGGCTCACCTCATAGAACAGCCAAGCGCTGAATATGACTTGGCAGAAATTGTAAAATATTAAAATATTTTTTAATTCATAGGGTTTCCTATTGGCCATAAACTTGGGTCCTAAAACCTGAAAATAATAATATTTTTAAGTAAGAACCACTTTAAAACATTGATAACATTTGTTGCATATTATGTTGTATAATTTAACCAAATATAAAAATAACACAATGTGAACTGCAGATAACTGATTAAGTGTTGTGTTTCCGTGAGTACCCTTTCCGTTACATCCTGTATCATCATTATCACATGATAGAATGATAAAGGGTTATTATCAACTCAATGGAGCAATTTTTCAATTAGCTAAAGTGGTTCCAGAGGTTACATACTCATAAACTCATTTTACAACATTAGTCCACATGAAATGTATTTTTGGAAGGTAAAAGAAACTCACAGCTGTACAAATACATCATTAACTATGTACAAAAAATGGGTGTTTGAAATTTTAAAATACAAGTTTCAAGCAGTAATATAACTCTATAATATATATGTTTCTCACAACTAAAAATAAAGTAATAAAGAAATGGTTGTTTTATGTGTATTACATAATTTTTTAATAAATATTTTTATTAACAATTTACTGTCACATTAGTTCAACAATTTTTTTGAGTGAAATACTTAATTATTTACAATCAATTACATTTCAAATGTAATTGATTGTAAATAATAAAGAGATACATACCTTGACTAGATATACATAACTTAGACATATTATTAGTGTAGGAAAGGGGGAACTCATCAGGAACCATGGATTTGTTCGAGGATCTGAAACAATAATTATAATTTCAATTATTTATTAATTACTCAATCCACTTTTTATTACTTTATTAATTTCATAGAATTAATTTGGTCAGTTAAAAATATTCTGCGAAAACTAAAAAATTTAGGTAGATAACTATAAAAGCTATAAGCTATCATAGAAGACAAAAAGTAAACATAATTTTAAATGCAACTAATAAAATTAAAAATACATACAACTGTTGTGTAATAAAAATTACTTACACTATTTTAATTTTATTACTTCAAAACATATTTTAAAAATGTTAAACTAGGCCACGAAATAAATCGTTACCAGTTGATATTATCAAGTATACTAAAATAAATTGGCATATTGAATTACTAACCTCCATTTTTGTCCATAAAAACGTGCATATCATCTAAATACTGTAGTATTAGCGACATTGTTGGTTATTTCTGAAAAGACCAGAAAAATAATTAATGAAATAAAACAAATGAACGAATTGTATATAGTTGTATTGATGGCTGACAGAAAACTTAGTGTACCATTGACAAATATTAAATTAAACACTTGTTACATAACATAACAGAATTTAATTGTTATTTTTAATTTAAAATTATTCATATAAGTTCAAACTGAAATATAAAATTAGGTTAGACCACAATCGTAAAGAATTAACTGGCTGGATTGGATTATCTCATATTCAGTGTTGCCAACGCAGATGCAAATTTTCAATCTAACCTAGCTGAAAAAAACTGCCAAAAGTGCTAAAATATTCATTCGAAAATACTAATAAACTATTATATAAAAATTATGCGTTACATTTGGGTAGGAACCTAAATGTAACTACAAAACACTTGTTTTATTATTTTATTTTATTTATAAAAAAGTAACTCCACTAAGTAATTAATAATTACGGACCCACAGGATTGATTTCGTTTTTTTTTCCCTGCAGCTTTATATTTTGATATTATAATACAATCAAAATATTGGATATAACTTTAAAAGTTTCTACAACTACATGAACTTACTAGAACAATAGAGAAGTTACAAGGTACAAGCTTAAAATCAATTGAAATCATAGCATAAAAAATATATCAGTACAATAAATAAACTAATTACTATAATAATTTCATTAAGAATACTTACTTATGTGTGAATCAGACCCGCACACCCAAGGTTGCGTAAAGCTGGTTATCTGTAAATATATATTTTTATTGTCAGTAAGTATACAAGAATAAAATATGGATATTTGGACATATACCTGGGTACAGAGATGTACCTAGATTACTATAAATAATCTATTTAAGGTTATATGATATGATAGTACATGACAGTAATTGGACTTGACTACATTGTCCATATTGGGGTGGAAATCCACGCAGTTTCCCCTTGAAATCATTAATTACTACCACAGGCTAAGTGACCTGACTTCATAATACTATCATTTTGCTTATATCGTGCATCTTAATTATATACAATGTATGAAAACGGGCGATGTAAGAGACAATTTGATTAGAATTGGTGTTTTATAAAATATGCTTAGGTACTACATTGTCATCACGATGTTACAAATACGATACTCAGGTTTTAGTCAGGAGGTATTTTACCTACTACGCGTTGATTATCTATCTAATTTATGGTATGGCATCATGTCCTGTGATTTCACTGCTATATGAACCATCAAAACATCTTATAAAGCAAGCTACTTGGTAGCTAAGTACGGTTACCACTGTTGAAGCAATCAACTCAAAGAGATCGTGTACCCTCGATTGATTAGTCTGATAAGTATTTGTGTTCATCGAAATCGGCAGGGCTGATGCCTGATAGGTGGTGGTTCCTATTTAGAAAGCAATAATATAATAAGTGTAGAAGTGCGAACGTAGTTTGTAGGTAAATATTTTTGAAGATTTTTAGGCACATTTCTATTTTTATTCATTAAATATATGAAAATATGTGTTTAATAATAAGTGTTCCCAGTGACCATCGTCAATAGGTACTCGTTGAGATAAAGACATTCTGCCATGAAACACGATGAGACATTCTATCGCGCACGTCCATTCAACATCAATTTCTAGGTCAAGGTCAATGTTAACAATAAAATATTCTAGTCATCCTTTTATGGGAAGCATGAATTCTGAATTTGATGATCGTACCACACTGCAGTATAATATGTATGACAAAGCCGACACAATAACTATATATAGACTTATTTAAGTTTAATTAGAGTTTGTTGGTGCCAGCCAGTAGGTAGCTAAACGTATTAGCATAGCTACTACCTAAGTGTATTTACGGAAAATATTTTAATGGATAAATAATAACAAAACATACAACAAGTAACTCTAAAAAACTAGTAGGCACATGAATTTAACTATAGCGTATTTAACGTGTATCGATATTATAGAAAAAAATAGTCATTATTATTTTCCTATAGAGTTATAATATTACCTAAGTATAAAAGAACATAGAAGTAGCGTAACCTTGTCTCTAACTTCAACCAGCAACCTCTGGATTAAGAGGAGCAAATCTATACCTACATATCTATACATATACTATATCATATTTTTACACCTACACATAGTCAAAACTTATTGGAATGAAAACAAAATAACAAAATATTTACTTGTCTGGTGAAAACGATTTATAGGCAGTGCTGTGGTATTGAATGTACTGTTACCAACACCCGGCCGCAGTCAGTCGTGGTATCTATCACTCATGCCATTCTTCGACCAGACATACAAACACAGCTATTTTGTAGCAAAACCTAAGTAAAAAAAGGAACGCATGCAGACGACAATTTTAGTCGATATAGCGTATGGGCATTGGAATTATCAGATTAGCTGTTAGATAAGAAAATAATCTTTTTTATTGACTATTATACATATTATATAAAAAATGCCGGCTATTTTCTAATTGCTGAATATTATTGAATTTTTCTGTCTATTCACAACAATCACACGATAAGAAACTGTAAGTAGGTTTATAGTACATCATCATATTTGTCATAGCGCCATAAGAAGAATAAAAACAAACATGTATACGTAATCTATGTACTAAATATCTAATTATTGTATGGTATATTTATATGTTAATAATCTTGATAATTAATTCTGTATAACAATCATTATCATTTGTTAATCCATATATATAAATTCAAATATAAAGGTAAGATTGACGGTTGGTTTTACCACAGGTTTTCATTTTTATGTGATGAGCTGTGATGTGGTGTTTGAGTCGCCTGAAAACAGCAGTTCTGTATTCATATTGTATTTAAAAATAAACTGAACTAAATTGCTACCTACCTACTACCTACCTACAAGTATTTAATATTTAGTGCCCTCGTCAAGATCGTCGACGTCTTTAACTGATAAAATGCTGCGACATGTATGCAGTTAGTGTGTTTATAGTGAATAGAAAATATTTATTAGTTGACAATGATTATTTGTCATATGTTTTTTAAAATAATAGTTTACAGACCTGATGTTTAGGGTTACACACGATTAGGCTTAAATACCAGTAATAGTAGGTACAATTTTTAAAAGAGGGGGTGGGGGTATCATAATATATACGTGACAATTATAGTAATGATCTTGAAAAGAAGCGGGAAGGTTAAATTTATAAAATAGTTTGCTAAGATTTTTATCAGTGATCCATTCATGGTCAACATACATAGAAAGTGATAGTAATTTGGGCAGTTTGGTAATTGGCAGAGCTTAATGAGGTCAAATAACACAGTCTTAAAAGAAACACATTCGTGTAAGAACACGACGGCATATCCTATTTTTTTTATAATAATATGAGATTATATACAACAACTATAGATTAAACTGCCTAGTTAGTGCCTGCCTACTTTCTACGTCTTTAAAGGTTGATGACCCATTTTTATGGATTATGTTTATTGTATTTAAACTCCTCAGTGTTCACCTCAAAGATAGAAATTAGATACAATGATAATGAAATATACCTTGCCAAATAATATCCATAAATAGATATGCAAATGTTATAACGATATGTATGTATGTCGCCACGAGATGGGTAACAACAACAACAAGAAACTTTCAGATTTATAATCCGAAGTATTAGGGCCCAAGTAGTTCATCTATATTTTCAAAGATAATATAGATTATAAATCAAAATAAATGACAAGTTTATAGTGACTTTTAAATAGCTATTGATCATTCATTAAATGGGTAGTTTTTAGTGAAATATTATATAGCTATTTAAAAAATTACTTTTACATACATGTAGTTTATGTCATATGTTAAGTCATAAGAAATATTTTATTGTTTTCTTTTATATAACTACTATATGGCAATTACTAGAGTTGCAATAATTTTCTATGGATAAGAAAAACAAAATAAACACACAATAATATTACCCTTCACATATATTGTATCAGTTTATAAAAATGATAAAGTAGCTTGCTGTTGGTATACACACTATTATGTTTTATTTTCATTATAACTGCGCAACTAGTAGTCTAAGAAATCTTTTTATTACTGTGAATGTAAACAGATGGTATGTTGCGTGGACTTCAAATAAGTGTCAATGTCTACATAGTTAAGTCAAAGTTGGTAATTATTTTAATGCATAGTATTAATAAGCAAATACATTCCGTATTTTACTTAGTAATATGCAAGAATTTATCGTAAACAATGGTGATTTTACCTTTTATTTATTACTTACTTAACTAATGCAGTAAATAATATAGTAGTTTAACTAAAATATTAAGACGTAAATACACTGGTTTCATATATGCCATAATTTATATAAATATATAAAACAAAAGTAATGCATACTGCTATACTATCTACAGCTTATCCTGTTGTAAGGTTTAGAAAAAAAATATTCTAGAAGACACAGAGTAATGAAAAATATTTTCTATAGTCTATAGAAATTATTGTTTCATAAATTTCATAAATTACAGCTCATAGCTACAAAAAGTAGATTTAACCTAGGTCCATTTACAAAATGTTACCAATATTATCAATATTTACCGCGCAATTAATATTAAATAAATTATTAACTAAAGATTTGTTTACATAGGCATGTATTTTGCATAAATAAATTTACATTATACTTATATCGAAAATAAGTTGTAGCTCTATCATTCACACCACCACAGCTCGTAAATTAATTTATATTATGATGACGGTTCCATTGAAATGAATCGACCACAAATTATAAATAGAGTCTATTTCAACCTACAGTAGGATTACCTACAGTATTAACTGTAGATATAACGTTCTTTATTTTAATTGTGCAACTATACTCTATAATCATAAGATAATTTCTACTATTAAATTATATACGTAAATATGTATGCAATTATTTATAACGCTACCAAATATTTTAAAGAATGCAATTTTATACTTTATATTCTTAGATCGAAATGGTCGATAAGAAACTCAGTCTTATCGATGATGCATTCTAAGGACGTGATACGTAGATATATCGAGTGATATTAAATCACAACCCGGTTTATTCACACGTTTTGAATGTTCTGAGCACGATTCAATGCACGTATTTAGATAATTATTACTTTAATACCTATATAAAATACTAGCTGTTAACTTCGATTTCGTTTGCACTGTCTTTCATCATCAACATTCAACTTTCATTTCAACCTATCTTCATCGATGAGTTTATATGTCAAATTATATGTTAAATAATTAACATCAGTTCAACATTTATTTGTTCGACAGATTAGTCGTGAAAATATAACAAACAAACAAATAGGAAGACACACTTTCGCGTTTAAAATATTAGTATGGACATCAACTTTACTCGATTTAAATTTATATATATCTTCTTTTTGATAGCAATATGAAGATATATCTGTTTTTACAGCTGTTCACATTACACAAGAAAAAAAAATTATACACTCAAGGACATGAAAGATCACAGAGTCATGAATGATATTGATGTATTTCTCATTTTGTAAGTCGCCAACGATGTATCAATAAGATTGCGTCAATTACAACCTTATCGCAGTGGTAGAACACAGCATCTATACAATAGGATTATTTATTTACATCGGAGCCGCATTGCTTCCGTGATACTCACCGGGTGCACTTAATTGTTGTAATATAATTTTGTTGTTGTTGTTATTAGATCGAGCAATTGCCTCGTGTTGTGATTAACTAGGTCATTGGCTGCACGTCGTCTTATGTAACACCGTCAAGTGAGAATAGATCG